ATAAATGCATAATTCTTGGCAAGAAGATATATCAAGAAATTCTCCTCAATATTTAATCATCAATTTAAAAAGAGCTGAGAAAAAATATTGTAAAATGAATCGTTTCCTTAATAGTTCTTAGAATATAAATAATTATTATCCAATTATCTCTAATTTTCATTTAATTAAAATTTTAAAATGCAGATTATTTTACATGTAGGATATTGTTTATTATTATTGTCGAATATCTAATGGTACATTTACGAAATATCTCACTATATTATGATAGTGTATTTATGCGTGTGAGTTGTATATGCGACGATTGGACGACCTATTCCTCTCACGTTCACTCTCCGTAAGAGGAATTACGTCCGGAAGGAAGCGTACGAAGAGAGGCTCGCATTCCACAATATCCTATTGGAGCATCCGCGCAATTATATCGAACTAAACCACACTTTAACCACAAGCTGCGAGAAAGACGAACGAGAAAATCGCGTAATCCACGTCTGTCCGACGTGCGGTCTGTTTCGCGGAAACGCAACCGCAGACGCAAATTTATCCTTCAACTCCTCTCTAAAGACAAAAAAGATCTTCCTTGAGAATTCGATTAAAAAAAAATTAAGAATTAAAAAATTATGATTTTTTACAGATTTTTAATTTGACGAGAATTAAACTATACATTACTTGAAAAATACATTTTTTTCTTATCCATCTATCCGCGATATGAGACAATTAAAATTTTGTACGTTCACTTTCTGTCATCTAATTGAAAATATAATTAATATTGCAATCATGCTCGCGCGAGCATAATTTTTATCTTTCTATCTCGGTAGCTCTTTAAATTAATCCTTCCTAGATTCTTCTATAGATCTAGACATATTTTTCTTTTTTTTCCTTTTTTCACCGAGAGACATCCTTGCGTTTCATTCTTCGAGGCCGCGATAAAAGACGCGAGCGCGAAATTTCCGCGTGAGAGCCGGAAAATTACGGAGCTCGTCCTCGACGCGCTTGTCCTCGGAAGAACGACCGCGTGTGGTTGTTCTATCTCGCGTTTAAATTGGCTCGGCTCGTTAGGCGTAATTAAGAGTCGGCAGGAGGCGCTTGCGATGAATATAAAAATTCCTTCATCCTGCCGTCCCCACTTTATCCTCTCGCAGAGAGAGGCGGATTAATTTTCTTCCTTGCAATATATTCCGCGTATATGCGTGACTACGCAAGAGCTACGTGACGAAAAATAGCCACGAAAGACTGAACATGCTTCGCATTTTTTTTCCTTCTTTTTTTCTCAAGAACTAATATAGGTAACAGCATTCCTCGAGGAGATTAATGAATAATGACACGCACGCGCCCCGAGAGAATCAAGCGTGACGCGGACATGCCTTTAGTGCAATTTTTCCGAAAAACCCGGTGCGTCCGACACATCGTTGAAATAACGCCCGTTCATTCAGGAAAACTCATCCATTATTCATCGACGCGCGAGAATATCCGCGGTTCCGCTCGAGCGGCGCGTTTACATAGATATTATCGCCGTCAAATGTATAAGAGGCCGCGTGCTCGTGATTCCAGAGTGCACTTGTAATTTTGTTTCTGCGCACGAGACTCGCGGAAGATGCATCCCGGTTATGCGCAGATGCATCCGATCGACCGCTTCGTTCCGTTTACTTCACGCAAAAGCCGCCGCGTGTCATTTGCAGAACGCGAGATATGACGTATAAAAGTTCTATTTGCAAGTAGTTCATTAATAAATCGAGTCGGGATATTTTTAGCGAGTTTGCGATATTCACCCTTTTACGAGACTCACAATCTCAATTACGATATATTTGTAACTTTCTAAAAGGGAAATGTTTATATAGTTAATTAAGACCGTGAAAATCTTGACGACAAAAAGTTTCGTCGTCATATTAATAATAAAGAGTTCTTTATTTATTGCATGTTCCACAACCAGAGAAATCTACTTTTAAAGAATCTTCAAATAAACTCTTAATATTTTTCTGAAAAAAAAAAAAATAATAATAATAATAATAATAATAAATAAAATAAAATTTATCAATATAGTATATATCAAATACATTTAATAAATGTGAAACTTCATAATAATAACAGTAATAATAATATCAATATTTTCGCTTCGTATTTTAATTGGATAGTTTATCATTTGTATAATCGTGGTCAATTTTTCAGCAGAAATAGCAGCATCTTTATCCCTAGAAAATTCCAGGGGATATATTTTCTCTCGCGCTTTACGTTTCCAATTGTAAGAAGAGCAATAAAACGGAAGGAAAGACCGCAGACTCGCGAGTGAGCTCGGCGGAACACAAGGGTTTAGAAAAATACGAGAAGTTAAAGGGCAGTTCTTCTCTCTTTTTAGGACAATACGAAGTCGCGAGACCCCGGATCTCATCCGGGGACAAATATATCTTTTTCAGACGAGCGTTAAAGTTTCCAATCTCTTCGGATGCATCGGTCCGCTAATCCGCCTTGTCATAAAGCGAGACGACTTCTTTTCCCGCTTATACGACGATAATACGTTCTCGCGCATTATTTACTCTCGGCCTTACCGTTTTAGCGCCCGTTTTAGCGCTATGATGATGATTCGCAGACGATTCTCCTCAACGAGTAAAATTGCACCAAGGAGACGCTGCATCCTGTAACGGTGCATACGCGCGCAACGGATGTCGTGTCACCTTGCGGTGCTTAAAGCGTGCAGCCGCGAATCTGCCGCGCGAGCGATTTCCATTTCCACTTCCACTTCCACACGTCGTAGATATATATGTATATATATATATGTATGTATATGTATGTACACAGACTAGGGTCGACCCGGCGATTTAAGCGGTTCGTGCGCTACGAGCGTCGACGTATTTCCGCATTCCTGCAAAAAGAAGCGACGGAAAGGAAGCGGGAAAAGGGAACACTCTACCAGCCATTTTTTTCTGTATACAGGGTGTATTTAAATAAGCGAAATATTTTAGATGATGCCTTGTCGAAAATTAAATTTCCTGAGGAGTTACACTTTTCTAAAGAAAGAGGTAAAAATTAGATTTTAATTTTTTTCTTCAAAATTTTAGGCAAATTTGAAAAATGAAACTTGGTGGATATTTTCTACTAATGAAAAGGATAATATTTTTTTAAATAAAATTAAAATTTTTGATAAAAATATCATCTAAAATTTTTCGCACTTATTTAGATACACCCTGTACAAAAGAAATTATGTAACTCTTGTGAAAAATGGAAGGATGTTATTTTGCTCGCGACTATTTCGTTCGGAGAGATGAAGAAAAATTCCAAAAGTTATATAACATAAAATTCGTCATTCTTATAAGTATAAATGATTTTGCCGTTTTACAAATTCTCGAGCTTCGTTTTTCTTCTATATAAATATCCGGTTTAATTTGAAACAAATTTTTCTTAGAAATTTCCAAATTAAATTTTAGATTTGTAAATAGATAAAACCTTAATCGTCAAGAAAGATATAACAATATTTTATATACACACATACATATATTAATAAGATATATTAATTATAATAAATATTTAAAAAATTAATATATTAATTAAAACTATTACACATTGGAAAGAGATATTAATTTTTGTAAGACACTAACGAAACGCTGTCTCATCCGAGTGCACCGGACTCGTGGATATGCGTAAAAATGCACAGGCATTGTTTGCAAATCGTGGGAAACCGGGAAGCGACTAGGGAGAGAAGCAAAGAAACTGCGTATGCACTCGCCTCGAGCATCCACCCAACAATGTACGATGGGCGCGAAAGAATAGCAATGCACGGAAGCGGCTTCTGAAAGGTCACGAGAAGTAAACTCGCTATAATAGTAAAATCCGCGCCCATCGTGAAATGCACCGCGATGCGCACGAGGCGTTCCGACCTTGATGCATCACAATGCGTCAATTTATATGTAGGTTACGAATGACCCAGAAAATAAAAACGCGTATGCACGTATACGTATACATTTCATGATTAAATGTATGCACGCAAACATGTGAGATTGATGGATTAAAAGAATGATAAAAGATGCACTATAAAAAATTTAATTCATCAATCTCAATATTATGACATGCATCGAGCTCGGATCGAGATTATTCGAGATCCATCCAGATATATAAAGCTAATTGAAACCGAGAAAATTTTAATCTTTATAAAAGTGTTGTCTTTGCAATTTAAAAATATGCATTTGAATGAAGAATCTATAAGAAGCTTATATATAAATATTTGAACAGTATCGCACAAATAAAAATTCGAAAAAAAACAAATAAAGAAAAAAATATTGGAATTATCGCGCTGTTAATTGCAATCGATTGTCTGGTGGTTTATAAAATTTATTGTACATATACATATAACGCTGTTAAATCGATCTGCGACTTATTCGTTAACTTAATGCTATGCTGAATATTTTATTTATACATTCTGTGTCAGCTTAATGTATGACATTTGCAAACAGTATGTATCCTTATGAGTATATTAATTAAACATTTCTGAAGAAAAACAGGGTAACTTTAGAAACATACATAGCTGTACAATAATTAAGCAGAGAATAAGAATAAACTATTGAAATTAAAATTCGAATTTTTCCCTCGTTTTTGCAATAAAAAATCAAGGATAAAAATTTCGTCAAATCAAAAATAGCGATATATTTTTAATTAGAGAATCTCAGAATTAAATTAATTTTATTGTTAAATTATTTTTTCGCGTATTATATAATTATTATTAGATCAATTTTCTTGCTTCCAGCATATTTAAAATTGATATTTAATTCAAATTTTGTGGAGTGTTAAAAAAATAATTACAAAATTTACAGGCTTTTAATAATTACTAAACTGAATAGAAAATAACTGAGCGACAATTATTATTTATCAGTTATCTATTTTTTTCCTTAAATAAATCAATTACTTCTCCGCGTCAGGCTATATCGTTCGCAAAAAATCTAGCTACGCTCCTGTCTAAAGCACTCGCAAAACTAGGTCATCCGAAGGGAGAGCACAACTCATTCTCGACTTTCTTGTAGAGACCAACCTCATCCTCGCCCACTTCGACAAATGTGCGACTTGGCGATGAGTGCAACCGAGATCGAGACTGCGAGGCTGGCATCACTAATAGCCATTGCTACTTGGGTTATTGCCGGTGTCAGCCCTTCTTCGCCGGCTACAATGATACTCAATGTCTTGAATGTAAGTCTCTCGTCGAAGTACCCTCTTATCTTCTTCAACCATATAGCTCACTCTTGCCCAAAATAGATTCCCTTAATACCGCTTTGCGTCCATTCTTTCACAAGAAAGGTCAAAATAAAAATAAAAAATTCAAGCTTGCATATTGTGCGATAAATTCATATTTGAATTAAAATAGTTTAATATAATTATTTTAATTATATATAATATGAATTGAAAAGTCAACTTAAAATGTACATAATATGAAGCAGCTAACTAAAAAATATTCTCTTTGAAAAAAAAAATCTTTTATTAACATTTGTTGTTATTTTTAATGGAGAAGGAAAGACGTCACTTTATATATATTAGTTAAAAATTTAAGTTGATATCTCTTTCTTCTAATTTTGCAGCGACTCTATTGGGCAATGATTGCCTTGTGAAGGAACAATGCTCCCTGAAAGTGGCGAACAGTAGCTGCCTCGAGGGTGTATGCAGATGTGAAGAGGGACACTTGCAGTTTCGCAGGCACACTTGTCTGGGACGTAAGTGCATTTTATCATAAGTAAAAAGTTGAATAAGAAAAATGTAAAAAGTTTGATTGCATATCGCAAAATTATATAGAATAAAATCGACAAAAATATGTCGATGGAAAAACGCGCGCGCTTTATTCACATTTTTTTCATCCTATTTAATTTATAAAAAAATATACACTTTAATTTTAAATACATAAAATTAAGTATATAAAAAGTATTAATATTATTCTTGAGCTAGAGGAATATTTTATTCAATTTACACGGTCAATTTCTGGTATAACAACATTAAAATTGTGAGTTAAAATTGCAAAGAAAAATCGATTTAATTATGATCGATCGCGAAGCAATGACATTATATTGTACGTATGATCGCTATATTAATACACGGATGCGACTATCATAAGGTACTCGCTTGAGTTCCTTAAGGTTACCGCTGGAAGCTATCTTGGCATGACATTAAGGGGATTATTAGCGACGTCGAGCGACGCGCATCGGTGAAAGGATCGATGATGAATAACCATAGGCGAGGCATAGTTAGAGCCTCACGTGGGGAACATTCTCATTTCTATAGTCTTATTCTCTGCGGCTCACTGGACGCGCATGTTATAATAGCTCGTCTTGAAAATGGAATTCCAGGAAAAATACATACCATGTAACAATTCTTTCACTGTCGCGAATTTATCGAGAGTCAGTTTTGATTGCTGACAACCGGTTATTTCCGATGCCACAATCTTCGCGGATCTTTTTACGCTAACAATCTTTATTATATGTATATCTATATGTATGAAAATATATGGAAAATATTTTTTTACACATAAATTATGTTGCATAAATCAAAGATAATATGGATTTACTAGATTTTATACTTGGTACATCTATAAAATATAATTATATTATATGCAATAAATTCTCAGTTCCTCGTAAATAATCAAGCTTGAAATATAAATTACACCTTAGTATTGTGTTTCTGCGTTAAAAAAAAATACGAAATAATTATATAAATTAAAAGACAAAAATTGCAAAAACTGGTTACAAAAAAATATACAAATTATATGTATATTAGTATCTTTTATAGATTTCGCTAATAGAATTTTTTTCAATTCGGTTTGTTATTTGAAAATTACGAGTATAACTTGATTATATCCTATGAATCTAAAAAATAAAAAGTTTTATCGCTCCAGAGGAAGTTTAATAAACCAAATGGGAAATTGACTCGTAATGCGCGTATAATGTTTCGTGAATCTAGGGAGACTAATTTAATTTGCAGCGGCGAAGCTCGGCGAGGTGTGTTACGAGCACGCTCACTGTCGTCTCTGGGACCCGGAGTCGCATTGCGATTTTCTCATTCCGGATTTATTCGGTCGCTGCCAATGCACCGCGCCGATGCGCCGCGAAGGCGACGTGTGTCGACCTGACAGTCTTGTGAGACCGGCGCCGCTTCCGGAGCACCTGCCTGTCTCTCAGGAGTCGATAATAGAGGATGTCACCGAGAGTGATAAGGAAGCTGGCGCCGAAGAGCAAAAGGGCGAGACTCAAGGGGAACAAGATACAGGTACAATTATAAAAAGAATATGTGTAGAAAGTAGAGAGATGAAGAGAAAGACATTTTTTTATGCCAGAAGTAAATATCAACATCAAAAATCTTTTTTTTTTTTTATCAGAATAAATCTCAAATTATTTTATTCATTGGGGATAGTAAGCACATTATTTTAAATGCGGACTATTAACTAAAAATTATTTTTCTTGAAATAATTAAGAGTACAAATATACAGATAATATTTAATATTTAGTATTTTTTGGTCATAATATATTCAATACTTTAAATTTTAAAATTCTTTTAACTTATTCATCTATTAATCAATCAAGATGAATATTAATATTAATTTTCTTTAAAAATATATTTTGATTATTATATTGTATATATATTTATTTATAGAATTATTTTATTAATGATCTCTACCTACTTAAATTATTTTAAATTTTCATTCAATTTTAATAATTAATTATATAATTGACGTTTTTAAAGTTTATATAATGTTTTGTTAGGAGATTGATTTCTAGCATGAAAAAATGCCTATGTCACCCTGTTTAAAAGGATGCACTTCGAGGTTGCGACGGAATTAGAACTGCATTTCTAAACTTCGTGCTCTATCGAGTGCGCAAACTTGTACGGGTAACGAGCAAACATTTGGTACTTGACTTCTCCATAAGCCACTTAACATTCCGTAGAATAATCCTCGCGCATAGTACGGGAATTGTATCAAGCTGTATCATCGTTCCTCCCTTCGCTTTTCCATTCCCTTTCCATGTTTCACGCGTCTTTTTATCCGGTAATCAGCTTTTCCGTGTGCTCTTCACGGTCGCAACGGGAATTTGCGGGTTGGAGACCCGGTGCGCCAGGTTTCCAGCCCGAATGTGCTCGAGCGGATTAACGAGATGAGGCGATTCGCGCATTCTTAATTAGCGCGATCATTAGCGAAACACGGGTGGCACTTCCCTGCGAACGCGAATGTACAAAGAAAACTTCGCACTCTGCACGTGCAACGTGATCACACGCAAGTTACACACGAAAGTGTTATTACCTTCTATTATCGCATTTGAGGATTCTCTCACGCCAGCCTAAAATGCGTTAATTAGATAACGGTGTGATCATTTTTGTGAATTAATTATTCCTCTGAACGACGAGATTTTTCTTTGACCTTGCTTCTGAATAGGTGTTCAGATATCCTGGCTGAAAAACGCGACGATGCTCCTGTCAACGGAAACTCCCAGTCAATTAATACCGGTTAACCTAGTGACCAGACCGTCATTTAACCTAAGACCCGGAATCAACGATCGATTCGGACCGAACGAGCTCTCCGATGACGACGATGCCATCGTCATCGAGGCAGAAGTCACCGAGACCACTCAAATTGTCACAACGACCTCCACGACGTCTGGTAAGACATAAGAGAGAGAAGGATTTTTATAACATTTTTATATTTTAAAACACATATTTTATCTAGCATATTTTCACGAGTATTAAAAAATTTCCTTATTTAAAAATTTAATAATTATTATAAGCTCGTGTAAATTAAAAAATTAATAAGAAAAAATAGGTCATCTATACGAGCAAGAAAATTTTAGATGTTGAATAATTTTTATTTGAACATATTATAAAAAATTGAAAAGTAAACGTTTTATTGAAGAAGACTGAATGTGTCCCATAGGAAATTGCTGAAATTATAACTGTCATTTTTTAATGCATGCAGTTATTGAGAAAACAAAAATTGTGTTGAAAAGAAGAAAGATTACAGTTTTTAATGGATATAAATAAAATGTTTGTATACCAGTTTATTTTATTGAAAAAAAGTAATGAAAAAATGCTAATAATCACAATAAAATCACATAAACTAATGATAAATATTTTCAACAGTGCCAGATTCAACAGCAGCTATTAAAAGGATCGTCAATAACATTCAAAATGACGTGTTAGAAAAAGTTTTTGGGGCACACCCTGCATGTTAAAATAAAAATTATTCAACATCTAAAATTTCCTTGCTTGTATAGTAGGTCCATTTTTTCTTATTTATTTATTTATCTATTTGTATAATCGATTTTTATAAGATTGACGAATCAAAGTGTATTTCTCCATCCGCGATATACCGTAACTCGGTCTAATTTCCGCCGCCTTTCAGCGCCAATAAAGACAGATCGTCACGAGAGTACGATAATGACGGCCGTCAGCCTGGGACTGCCGTGCATCGCCGATCTCGAGTGCCGTATGGCCGATCCGATGTCGCGTTGCATCGGCGGCGTATGCGACTGCAGTTTCCCGAAGAACAGCAGTTGCAACGCGCGGCGGACCGGCTGCGCGCCGGGCACTTTCCAGTGCCGGTCGACCGGCAGCTGCATCAGCTGGTTCTTCGTCTGCGACGGCCGGGCCGACTGCGCCGACGGCTCCGACGAGGAGTGCACCGGACGTCGTCGCTGCCCGTCGCAGGCGTTCAGGTGCAACGAGAGCAACGTGTGCATATCGAGGTCCGGACTGTGCGACGGCAACCGCGACTGTCCGCGCGGCGAGGACGAAATCGGCTGCAACAATCGGCGAAGTTGGTATCCTCCTTCTTTTTTTTTTTTTTTTCATTATTGCACTCTATTAAAATTTGTTCATGTTTTTTTAACATCGACTAATTTCGGCAGAGATTTTTCGACTATTTTTTTTTAAATCATGGAAAGAGTATTTCGAATTCTAAATTATTTCAATATTTTTTTATTAAAATTGGAAATTGTGATTTCTTTTATTTTTAATGTGAAAAAATATAAAAAATAATTATTAATATTAGAATAAAAATTGATATAAAAAATATAGTTTATGATACATATGATTTATTTATTTAGAAATAAATAATTTAAGAAAAAAAGGAGATTCACATCTCTTTTCAAATTAAATTCATCTATTTTTATTATATAAAATTGGTCCAACTCTTGCATTCTCTCATTAAATGGACTTATTATCATTATATTCCCTTTGGAATAACTAAAAAAATTAAGCATGCTTTATTTGCATATTTAATATAAAAAAATGAAAATAAAAAAAACAAGAAACTAAAATTAAAAAAATAAAGTAAGAACAAGAAATAAGAAACCAAAAGAATTTAAATTGTGTCTCCCCATGGAAAAAATCCTGCGAGATTCTCTTCCGAAAGGGATGAACGTTTCGCTTTGTATGCATTCCGTGCCCTTCTTTAATTTACACGCACGAGATTTCTTTCAACCTGTGTTCGCAGAATGTCCCGAGGGTTCGTTCAGATGCAACAACGGCCAGTGCCTGCCGGCGTACGAATTCTGCAACGCGGTGGTGTCCTGCAGAGACGGCAGCGACGAGCCTAGGGGTGCCTGCAGGACGCGAAATCGCGGCCGGATCAGCGCGAGATTCTGTCCCTTCAGATGCGACAACGGAAGGTGTCGTTCCGACGCGATAACCTGCAGCGGTCGAGACGGATGCGGCGACGGTTCCGACGAGAAACACTGCAGCGTCTGCAGTAAGTAAACGTCAAAATTTGCCTGAAAAAAATCACTCCATTCCCTCCTTTCAAAAAATTATCTTGCATAGCAAAAACGTCGTGAAATCTTATTAAATAGAACATCATTTTTATATTATAACCGGCTCCTTCTCTCTTCTTGTATCTTTCCCTTTTTTTATCTCGCGATACATCTATTTTTTACAATTACAGCTGTTTTTCTGTCAAGTCATTTAATTTGCAATAACCAAACGTCTAAATTTGCTAAAAATGTGACGTATAAAAAAATCGCTCCATTCGCTCCTTTCAGAAAATTATCTTGCATAGCAAAAACGTCGTCAAATCTTGTTAAATGGAATATCATTTTTATATAATAATCGGCTTCTCTCTTCTTGTATCTCTACCTTTTTCTCTCGCGATGCATCTATTTTCTACAATTACAGCTATTTTTCTATCAAGTCGTTTAATTTGCAGTAAGCAAACGTTAAAATTTGCAAAAAATGTGACGTATAAAAAAGTCGCTTTATTCGCTTCTTTCAGAAAATTATTTTACACAGCTAAAACATCGTCAAATCTTGTTAAATGGAATATCATTTTTATATAATAATCGGCTTCTCTCTTCTTGTATCTCTACCTTTTTCTGTCGCAAAGCATCTATTTTCTACAATTACAGCTATTTTTCTATCAAGTCGTTTAATTTGCAGTAAGCAAACGTTAAAATTTGCAAAAAATGTGACGTATAAAAAAGTCGCTTTATTCGCTTCTTTCAGAAAATTATTTTACACAGCTAAAACATCGTCACATCTTGTTAAATGGAATATCATTTTTATATAATAACCGGCTCCTCTCTTCTTGTATCTCCCTTTTGTCTCGCGATGCATCTATTTTCTACAATTACAACTGTTTTTCCATCAAGTCGTTTAATTTGCAATCGGGAAGAACGTAGTTCGTAATCTGTTGGGAAGAGAAAAACCCCGTGTATTAAAAGTAATAGCCATTTATATGAGAATGTTTCTCTCAGAAAGAATGTAAGAGGCATCTCTTTTCCGCGTTATATCTTCCCGAATAAATAAAGCGTTATTTACAAACGTTATACTTTTTCCTTCCTCCCGAGACTTTTATTCTTACCAATTACCGTCCTTATTTATGTTACGGAATTTTCCGCGTATACGCAACAAGGGGTAATCGTTCGCGATTCGATGCATCGAGCCGTCACATTTAGATTTGTGCGCTTCCTAGAACCTAACGCAAAGCGGAGTTACGCTCGCGTGTAATTAGAGCAGGATGCATCGATTACGGCTGCTATCTTCCGTAATAATCTCTTTCTTCGCGCATCCGGAAGAGTATAGTGAGAAATTACATAAATGAATTAGTCATAAACACAAGAGCAGAGCGCCGCGAATATATATACATACATATATTCCCGAGACGGAAATAATTCGCCCGCGTTTCGAAGGCATCGCCCCGTGCAGATTCGCCTCTTTCGCGCCCCAAGTGTTGTTTCGCGCGACCGAGATTGGGGGATGACCGAGTGCATTCTTGGGAACAATAGGCGGAACAATAGCGGAAAAAAAAGTAGAACGTTCGCAGAAGAAAGAGAGGAGAGACAAAAATGTGGGACGTTGCTTTCTTTCCGCTCTAATAAAAGAAATACAGCTTCTTTTACATTTTTAGAAACGAAAACGTCCCTCATTGTAATATGCAGGGTGTCTGACATAAGATGTCACACCGAAAATATACAAGTAGATCTTGTGACTTTGGAGACAATTTTTCCTCGGCAAAAATATTGAGGCATCAATTATTTTCGAGTTATAAGCGATTGAAAATGAAATTTTAATGTAAGGTTTAGTTATAAAATGATACATGATGGCAAAAATTGGGAACGTGCAAAAACTGATGTCCTCTGTCGACATTTTTGCGAGGAAAAATTGTCTCCAAATAACGAGATCTACTTGTATTTGTGTGACTCTTTATCTATCAGACACCCTGTATAATTATTTTCAAGTTATAAGCGATTGAAAATGAAATTTTAATGTAAGGTTTAGTTATAAAATGATACATGATGGCAAAAATTGGGAACGTGCAAAAACTGATGTCCTCTGTCGACATTTTTGCGAGGAAAAATTGTCTCCAAATAACGAGATCTACTTGTATTTGTGTGACTCTTTATCTATCAGACACCCTGTATAATTAACATAACGATGTAAAATATTATCGTTCGCCGGATAATCGTTTATCAAAATGAATTAAAGGAAATATTTTTATACAAATTTTATTGAACTTGAAGAATTGATTAAATATCTAAAGATATTACTAAAAGAACAATAATTTTTTCTTTAAATTTCATCGAGCTTAATATTGAGTATCATGCGAGATTTATTAGCAATATAATATATTTGCAACACAATTAATAATACACTATAACGAATATTCTAAATTGCATTATCAAAATTAGATACTCTCACAACTTTGATTTCCTCGCAAATTTATCAACATCAGCATTCAACGTGTTTACGAGACCAATAATAAAATAATCCATCCTTTTTGCTCTCTCGCAACTTATCATTATCTCAGTGTAGGCGTGTTGTTCTACTTCTACATCAATGTTTCGCGATAGAACGATTATCAAGCTTTTGCATGTTGCAGGATGCAGCGGAAGGATTTAATCTCGACCGGTCGGCCGATTTCTTCGTCATGTCGCGTCGCAACGTCGGGAAAGACAAAAAGAAAAGGAGAGGAAAAAGAGGGCACAGACCACCAGCTCGCCGGCTCGCGTCGACGGTTTCGCGAAGTAAGATGTGCTCGAGATGTAGAAGGGCACAGAAAGTAAGTGTGACCAAAGATCGTTAAGCCGTATCGCGCGGCGCAACTTATAAGCTTTCGGCACGCTCCGCGATTTCGAGACTGAAAGGATCGTTTTTACTCGGGGCCTGCCTGCCTGCTCTCCATCACCAAGGAGAGAGAGAGAGAGAGAGATGGAACCCTTCCGCGCGCGATCTCGCTCGTTAAAACGAACCGGTCCAGTGACCGACCAGAGTCCGTAGCCCCGGCGCGGCAGAAATGATTGCGCTCGCGTAATAATGGGACTTAATCGCGTATAATGATACCACAAGAGACGGGGATAATTCGCGCCCGGGGATATAGTCCTGGGTTGCCCCGTGACGAGAGAGTGCAGCGTGCATTCCGAACTTATCTTCTTTAACTATTCTCGGATTCTAGGTAAAAGCATCTCTATGTCCCTATTTTATCACAGAAAAAAACAGTATTCTTGAAAGAATGCAAATATGCTTTGATTCAAGTATATTTTATCCTTATAATAGCGCCAAATATAAATAATTTTGGATAAAGGATAATTTATCCTTAAAACAAAGTGCGAATATTCTTGGTTGAAGCTGAAATTTATTTATAAATATTGCAAGGACAAGTGAGCATCAGATATAAATGGTACTTTCAAATATATATATAATAATTTTTAGTTCAAATGTGACTAAGTTTGTTTTTACCATATGCGATTTTTAAAACAAGAATATATCTTAAAGATAAAATATAATTTATACAAACTTATTTATTATTAAGGCAAATGAAAATTTGTGATTACAAAGAGCATTATATGTTTAAATCAATCAAATAGCGTTCAAGAATAAAAATACAAAAACAATTAATACGGTAGGTAATCTAAGATTTAGATCGAAAGGATATTAATTTATGTATTGTGGAATTATTAATATTATTCATGCTCTTATCGGACACGTGTGCCGGTTTGTCGAAAAAGAAAACCGTAAGACAAGAGTGTATTATCGCGTTGCCGAATATATTTTTTATAAAAGAAACGTCAATCTCATTCTTTTCAATTTACTACGCTCATGCACCATGTATTTAGCACGGAAGACGCAATATCGCAAATAAGTTTCAATTAAAAAGCATTGTATACTCGATATCGATGTAAAATATAGCATTAATTTAATTAAATCTCTTTAAATCTTATTGCATATAAATTTAATATTATATCGATAAAATGGTGTACGAGAGTGATAATACGTCTTCCGTTGAATCTCAATGACGCACATATTTATTAAAGTAGTTGTCAAAAGTTGTTCGGAGAGAAGAATAGATATTTTACAAACATTACAGAAGTGTACAGTTATGAAAATGAGAAATATAACAAAATAAGAACAAATATTTTTGTATAATTTTGTATCACTATCAATTAGGTTTTTGATAATGCATATCTGACGTTTTGTCCGATATATCTAATTTATAATCCATATCCTAGACAAGCCCAATATAAAAAAAAATGTAATTTAATAAATTTTAATAAAGTTTGAAAATATCTACATCCTGATTACATGTTTTACCCATGTCATAAAAAATTGTCTCCCCATCCGTACAATTTTGTGCCGCCATTGTATTTTCTGCAATGCAGCAAATTATGTATGGTATTTTAAAAGAGTGAATACATCAGTTACATAATGAATACATTTTGCAACATGTTATAAGTATGACTAACGCGTCTCATTAGCGAGTCACACATCGACAATCTATGATGCAAATTTAATTATCGATCTTTGTGTCATTGAATTTACATTCTAGAGTATCCCATCTCTCAACGATATTGTTGCGTATATAATTTCGTACAGAAAAGAATAAATTTGTTTATGAAACAATGGAATTTATATAAAATTATAATTTGAAAAAATGTTTGAGAGATTGTGATGATGATCCGTGATTCTTCAATTTCTTTTTTTAATATCTTTTCTATAATGGATCTTTAATCATAAAAATCTGATCAATCTTGATCTTTACAACAAATTCCAGAATTAACAATTTTAACGATATTTTTAATATTGAATGTAATATAATTTTTTCAATACGTTACACATCATTATTAGCTCTGCAGCTTAATAAAGAATATTAAAATAAACTTTTTTAATTCTAAATTTCTCTAAAATTGTAATGTAATTAAGTACAATTTTGAAGACCGCAATTATATTTATCATAAAAAATATTTCCTATGTGGAATAATTACTTTTTCTCTTAAGTTTGAACAAAAATATTCTTTTTTATTGAATTGTGTAATAGACAAAATATCCTCTACATAATAGCAATAAATTATTAATATCTTGGAGATTATATATCGATTAAAAAAGACAACTTTGCTTTAAACTGTTTAACAATTTTGGAAAAAAAAACATAAAAATTTATTGGACTTATTTAAAATATTGGAGACTACATGTTAACGAGAATTATGGAGATGCATTTTATACAGGCGAGAATGAACAAAAATTCCGGCGCATCTCGCGCGTCCCAACGCAATCCAATGTTTCTGCGGTATGACATGCGTTGGTCCCGGGCAATTCCGCGACTGCGTGCCTGGCTTCGCCGGTGCTCGTCGATAAATGTCCGCGCGATATATCCCAGAACAACGTGCACGGTAGCATCAGGTACAGCAAGCGAGACTCTAAATCCTCGAACACCATACACTGAGATTGAATCATCCTGTCCCTTCGGAAACTTGGACGAAATGTCAACGTTCGACATTCTCGCAAATATTTTATTTCTTTATTTTTTATTAATTTTTTTTCTTCCTTTTGACATTTTTCTCGAGTCTTGGAAATCTTCTTTGACGAGCAAACTTTGAACACAAAAGAAATTAAAAATAATTAACGAAGTTGCCCTGAATTCTTAATCCCGCGCAGAATCCGGATGCGGGATGTTTCGGAGTTAATCTTATTGCCGGAAATCAGTATCGCACGTGCTCCACGCAGCACATTCGCGGAGGACGGAAGTTAAGGGGATCCTAAATGCACGGGCGAACTCCGATAGGGTTGATAATAAAGATTTTTTAAATATAATTATCGACAAAACTCGACAGATGTCGCAATAAAAAAGTTGTCAATCGACACACACATACATATACAGGGTGTCCCATTTTATATAATTTATAATTATATAAAAATTATATATACACAGGTTGTTACACATACATATACACATATGTATGCGTGTGTGTATTTATACAAGGTGTCCCATTTTTACTACCCCTAATATCTCTTTGTTTTAATGCATTTTATAATAAAACAACAAAAGTTGTACGGTTTCAAAGGAACCATAAAATAGTACCATTAGTGTTGACCTTGCACAGTCATAAAGATTACGTGAAAGTCACTATCACATGATAAGTTATAAAGTTTCAACATTGCAATATCGCTTCTGAGAATTTTGCGCACATGCAAACTGCATCCGGGGTAAAATATTTTGTACAGTTATCAGCAAACGAATAGATCGCCTCTGGAATTATTTTTTAAAACAACCAGCACACGAATAGATCGCCTCTGGAATTATTTTTTAAAACAACCAGCACACGAATAGATCGCCTCTGGAATTATTTTTTAAACCAGCACACGAATAGACCGCCTCTGGCACTAACTACTATAAAAACTATAATAATAATTATCAATTATACATGAAAAAATAAACAAAGGATTGCATTATCTTTCAGATAAAAAAAATTGAGAATTGCATTTTAATAAAAAAAAATTAAAATAAAAATTAAAAATAAAAATAAAAATTGCATTTTAAATGTCTATTTGAATGTTCTTATAAAATTACACCTACATACATACATACATACAAATATATATATATATATATTTATATACAGGGTAAGCCATTTTAATCTTTGCACTAAAATTTCTCAAAATTCAAAAATTTAAGACAAAAATGTTTCAGATAAAAGTTGTATGGTTTCAAGGGGGACATGAGATGGTGTCATTGATTTGACCTTGAATAGCCATTTGAAGGTTACGTGACAGTCAACTTCAATTTCTTAAATGGAACACTATATTTTTTCTTGCATACTTTTATAACTGACTTCAAGATCTTTCCAAAACACTACAATAAAATATTTTTTCATTAAGTATTTTTCGAGTTATAAGGCTGCAAATTTGCAGTATTTTGACATAAAATACAAAATATCTTGGGAAATATTCATTTTTCGATTATCATACCTTAATACTTTTATGCCCAGAATAATGAGACAAATCAATTGGTGTAAAGAAAACACATAGTTGTCTTAAAGAAAAATTATCTAACTGCTTATTGCAATTTTCATATTTTTTTTAAAGGTAAATATGTGTTTTCTTTACACCAACTGATTCATCTCATTATTCTGTGCATAAAAGTATTAAGGTATGATAATCGAAAAATGAATATTTCCCAAGATATTTTGTATTTTATGTCAAAATACTGCAAATTTGCAGCCTAATAACTCGAAAAATACTTAATGAAAAAATATTTTATTGTAGTGTTTTGGAAAGATCTTGAAGTCAGCTATAAAAGTATGCAAGAAAAAATATAGTGTTCCATTTAAGAAATTGAAGTTGACCGTCACGTAACCTTCAAATGGCTATTCAAGGTCAAATCAATGACACCATCTCATGTCCCCCTTGAAACCATACAACTTTTATCTGAAACATTTTTGTCTTAAACTTTTGAATTTTGAGAAATTTTAGTGCGAAGATTAAAATGGCCTACCCTGTATATATATATATATATATATATATAAATAACTTAATTATTTTTGAAATTTGAAGACATAAAAAAATAGTTTATATCGACATATTTAGTACAAAAGGGGACATCATATAGTAATAAACGATTATTTGATGAGTAGAAACATTGAGGGCATTACAAAGTCAACTTCATTTTTTAAAATGGAATGCTATATTTTTTATTTTATAGGCTTTTTAAATACAAGTTTATTGATATTACATACAGATATTCAAGGTCATAAATACATAGTAAAATAAAAGTCAAATGTTTGACTTGTATTCCAATTGTAATAAAAATTTGAAGTATTGACCTTGGACTTGACGACACGGATAAATTTTATGTGTCAAATGATGTACTGCTTCTCTTACTTCTAATAAAATATTTTTAAGTGTTGCAGTTATTCGAGCAATCATATGTATAATATAATTATTATGAGTTCTTTTATAGTCATTCAGAATACACAATGCTTTTCATATATTCCCATAATAAATATAATTTATCAGATTGGACTCAGGTCATTCGATTACATTCTCTTACATTATTTTTTATAGAGCAATATAAAAAACATGTGTATTCAAAACTATGTACAATTCGTAATAATGATACATGATTGCTCGAATAACTGCAACACTTAAAAATATTTTATTAGAAGTAAGAGAAGCAGTACATCATTTGACACATAAAATTTATCCGTGTCGTCAAGTCCAAGGTCAATACTTCAAATTTTTATTACAATTGGAATACAAGTCAAACATTTGACTTTTATTATATTATGTATTTATGACCTTGAATATCTGTATGTAATATCAATAAACTTGTATTTAAAAAGCCTATAAAATAAAAAATATAGCATTCCATTTTAAAAAATGAAGTTGACTTTGTAATGCCCTCAATGTTTCTACTCATCAAATAATCGTTTATTACTATATGATGTCCCCTTTTGTACTAAATATGTCGATATAAACTATTTTTTTATGTCTTCAAATTTCAAAAATAATTAAGTTATTTATATATATATATATATATATATATACAGGGTAGGCCATTTTAATCTTCGCACTAAAATTTCTCAAAATTCAAAAGTTTAAGACAAAAATGTTTCAGATAAAAGTTGTATGGTTTCAAGGGGGACATGAGATGGTGTCATTGATTTGACCTTGAATAGCCATTTGAAGGTTACGTGACGGTCAACTTCAATTTCTTAAATGGAACACTATATTTTTTCTTGCATACTTTTATAGCTGACTTCAAGATCTTTCCAAAACACTACAATAAAATATTTTTTCATTAAGTATTTTTCGAGTTATTAGGCTGCAAATTTGCAGTATTTTGACATAAAATACAAAATATCTTGGGAAATATTCATTTTTCGATTATCATACCTTAATACTTTTATGCACAGAATAATGAGATGAATCAGTTGGTGTAAAGAAAACACATATTTACCTTTAAAAAAAATATGAAAATTGCAATAAGCAGTTAGATAATTTTTCTTTAAGACAACTATGTGTTTTCTTTACACCAATTGATTTGTCTCATTATTCTGGGCATAAAAGTATTAAGGTATGATAATCGAAAAATGAATATTTCCCAAGATATTTTGTATTTTATGTCAAAATACTGCAAATTTGCAGCCTTATAACTCGAAAAATACTTAATGAAAAAATATTTTATTGTAGTGTTTTGGAAAGATCTTGAAGTCAGTTATAAAAGTATGCAAGAAAAAATATAGTGTTCCATTTAAGAAATTGAAGTTGACTGTCACGTAACCTTCAAATGGCTATTCAAGGTCAAATCAATGACACCATCTCATGTCCCCCTTGAAACCATACAACTTTTATCTGAAACATTTTTGTCTTAAATTTTTGAATTTTGAGAAATTTTAGTGCAAAGATTAAAATGGCTTACCCTGTATATAAATATATATATATATATATTTGTATGTATGTATGTATGTAGGTGTAATTTTATAAGAACATTCAAATAGACATTTAAAATGCAATTTTTATTTTTATTTTTAATTTTTATTTTAATTTTTTTTTATTAAAATGCAATTCTCAATTTTTTTTATCTGAAAGATAATGCAATCCTTTGTTTATTTTTTCATGTATAATTGATAATTATTATTATAGTTTTTATAGTAGTTAGTGCCAGAGGCGGTCTATTCGTGTGCTGGTTTAAAAAATAATTCCAGAGGCGATCTATTCGTGTGCTGGTTGTTTTAAAAAATAATTCCAGAGGCGATCTATTCGTGTGCTGGTTGTTTTAAAAAATAATTCCAGAGGCGATCTATTCGTTTGCTGATAACTGTACAAAATATTTTACCCCGGATGCAGTTTGCATGTGCGCAAAATTCTCAGAAGCGATATTGCAATGTTGAAACTTTATAACTTATCATGTGATAGTGACTTTCACGTAATCTTTATGACTGTGCAAGGTCAACACTAATGGTACTATTTTATGGTTCCTTTGAAACCGTACAACTTTTGTTGTTTTATTATAAAATGCATTGAAACAAAGAGATATTAGGGGTAGTAAAAATGGGACACCTTGTATAAATACACACACGCATACATATGTGTATATGTATGTGTAACAACCTGTGTATATATAATTTTTATATAATTATAAATTATATAAAATGGGACACCCTGTATATGTATGTGTGTGTCGATTGACAACTTTTTTATTGCGACATCTGTCGAGTTTTGTCGATAATTATATTTAAAAAATCTTTATTATCAACCCTATCGGAGTTCGCCCGTGCATTTAGGATCCCCTTAAATTAAGTTAAGGTTTAATTAACTTTCGAACCGTAATTGCACATTCGCGTCTTTCCTCACCTTGTCCTGACTTTTAATCCTCAATCATTAGGGCGCGGATCGACGTTGAGGGCTCATTTTTCATCCCGTTAACGTCGGGGAAGTTTGGAACGCAGAAATTACCGTGACGCGTTATTAATGGCACGACTGGAGGATTAATCGTGTGCTTCTTGCGTGTGTTTTTTTCTGTAATAGCGCTTTGTCTCTTCAAGATGAAACACCACTGATGTTGATTAAAATAATGGCGAATTGGAGCAATATTATTTTATACATGTAATTTTGTGATTACAAAGTAGTTTTACAATTTTTATCTAATGGTTAAATTTCTATAAAATGATTACAATCGATATATCAAGAAATATATTCTAAATTATATTATTTTATTTTAAAATAATTTTATTGTCTTTGTATTTAACAAGCGCTTTTTACTTTCAACTATATTCAAATAATCATTATAGAGATCATTAATGAATCACAACATATTTCGCGTTGACGATATTCATCCCGATAATTATCTTTATATATGCATTGAAAAATACTTTTAGATTTTTAAATCACTGCAATATAGTTGGCTAATGTTGAATTATAAATTTATCAATAATTTAATTAATTTTGTCTCACATTTATAAAATAGAATTCATTTATTTAGCGTAAAAGTATTTATTGTCAGTCTTAATAAAAATTTCATATCAGAAAGAATAGCAAGGAATACCAGAATAAACGAAATAATCTTATCGACGTAATGCACATCTCATATTGTATTCCATTAAAAATGGATCTATTAAAAATAGAAGCGACTGAATATTTTTATATGATCAGAGAGATGTATCTAATCTATCAATACTTAAAAATACCGACATTAGCGGTGCCAGTAAAATTTTTTTTCACTTTAGAAAAATTATTTATCTAATTTTTTCTTAAACAAAACAAAATAATAAATGTAGATTAGAGAATTAACTCATTAATCTTATATCATTTATTACTCTATAATACAAAAATCATTATTATTTAATTCTATTAAGAAGATATTTATAGAATCCAAGTGTTTAATAGATTTCACGATAGAACATCAAAATGATAAAAAATCTTCACAATTAATTGTTGATCGCCAGTGATAAAATTTTAACAAATAATAAGATGCAATTGAATTCGACCAAAAACTGGCTATTCGTTTATTGAAAATAAGTACACACTACGTTTCGATCCACATTGTGGTCTTTTTCAAGTATTGTTCTTATTCAGCAATTACATTAATTAAAAATAGAAACATGAAAGTTGTCCTGTCATATCGACAATCTGTCAGCTACTGTGGACAGTAGCTAACAGATGCTAGGATAACTTTCATGTTTCTATTTTTAATTAATGTAATTGCTGAATATATAAGAACAACATACACTTGAAAAGGACCACAATGTGGGTCGAAACGTAGTGTGTGCTTATTTTCAATAAATGAATAGCCAGTTTTTGGTCGAATTAAATTGCATCTTATTATTTATCAAAATGATAATTCCGAAATGTGCATATGTTTATTAATGTCGAAATGTTTTGCCTTGGTAAAATATAAATTTATCATTTATGAACAGTGAAACGTAAACAACCCATACAGCACCGTTAGATTGCAAAAACATTACAACAATCTTTCACCGCAATATTGCAATATTGCAAATTCACTGCAAAATGTTGCTACATCATTGCTGTTGAATTGCAGCAATGTTAAAATGTCCGCTTTTTGGAAGATAATAAAATTATTGATTATCGTTAACATCTTTTATTGTACAATATTGCAAAAAATTATTTTATTACAGTATTATACCCAGCAAATACCAAGTTACAGTTATATAATTGTTAGTTGTAATTTTCCACTCAACAATATAATTGTTATAATACACGTATTATATTTTTGAGTGGGAAATTACAACTAACAATTATATAGCTGTAACTTGGTGTTTGCTGGGTATATGTATATATATTACAATATATAAATTATAGAATTTGGATTACATGCAATATTTCCGAAATATTAATGTCATGTTGCTACAAGTGTGCTGGAATTTTGTGCACCTATATCTCTGCAATGTCTTTATAATGTTGCATTGCAACTTGCAACATTGCAACGTTGCTGCAATATAATTGCAATAATCTGTGCTGTATGGGAAGAGATTGGTCTAAATTTCTATATCTGCAAGAGGTATAACTATATCTCGCATATACATTTATATTTTTTAAGAATACTAATATTCGATGTGTCTCAACGCTACTCATTGCTCACGCAGTATCTATACAAAGTTATCGATTTCAGATTTTGTTTAAACAGTCAATCTTATAAAAATTAAAAATCGATATCAAAAGCGAGTTTGCAGAACACTAGACAAACCAAACCATCGATTCTAGATTTTTTAAGCAGCTAATTTTATCCATTAGAAATGAGTCAGTTCGCGGAACTAGGCAAAGCAAACTATCGATTCTAGATTTCTAAACAGCCAATCTTCTATAAATCAGAGATCGTTATCGAAAGCACACAATTGCGGGCTGGTACACTCACGCATACATATACATACATACACACACACACACGCATTTCCATAAACAGACGCGCGCATCGCGACGGCGCAACTCGATGCAACGGAGTAGAGGGTACGCCGGTGTTCGCCGTCGTCGACGACGACGACGACGGCGACGACGACGTATGCGCGAATCTCTCCGTCAGTCGGCGACGGAGTTGCCTGGCTACAACGTGGGTGGCACGCGCGCGCGTTGCTGCTCCGACCCGGCCAGCTCGATTCGATTAAAGGCTTCTCGCCGCAACCCTCGCTCGTCGCGCGACAGAGCGGGATGAGACACTACCTCGTGCGGAGGCCCGTTATGCGTCGAGCGACGTCAACCCCTAACGAGCCGCGTGCGGCAGCAGCTGATACGCGAGAGTAACAGATTTCACCTGGCGCAATATTCACGTTCGGGACGAGACGACCAATTCGTGCGATCAGCCACCCTCTGCGTGATCATCCGCCTCCCATTTTATACACGTCGACGCGTGTGTCGTATACAGGTAATTCGAAAGAAGCCTAGGTGTGATCTCCACGATCGTTCGTGCGCGACCTGATCGTGTTTCGAGATATCGTTACTCTTGAGAACGCGGATATGCAAACGTCGCATCTTTGTGTCTCGCGCCGCTACGTACAAGTTTCTTATCGCAGAGAGGTCTTCGTGAATTGCGATTCCAATCTTGCCGCGTGCATGTGTCGGGATTTTTTCTTTTATTTTTTTCTCGGAGAGACAAATTGAAATTTCCAACGAGGATGTGTGTAATCACGAAGATTGTCGAGTTTTGCATATTTATGCTCCTGTCATCTCCGGGATGATGATATAAGCTGCACGAGATTGATCACTTGAAGTTTGATCAGCAATAAAATATCGTTGTTTATTTGCGTTCCTTATCTCACGAGAGTTTCCAATTTTCAAGAACATTCTTTTGCTGGAAAAAAAAATCTGTATCAAATTCATGAAAAAAATTTCTATGTCCAAGAAAATGCGTGAGAAATAGTTTTGCATATACATCGTGGAATCGTTTTACAAAAATAAAATTTCAATTTTAATTATTATAATCCTTAGGAATAAAAATAAAATACTAATTTTGCGAAATCTTTTTAAAGAGTGAAACATAAATAGAATTATTTATTAAACGTGCTCAATCTTCTCTCAATTGCCTCTCTCTCTCTCAGACTTATTTTACATATTAATTTATCGAAATTCGTCCCTCGCATCTCTGCGGAAAACAAGGCTTGCCGCGTGCTTTACATTTTAACGCTGCTTTTGTCGGTTACTGCAAGTTACTACGAAGCCCATCATTCAATGTCCGATATTCAATTACACACCCTACGCTTCCTACATGGAGGAAAGGAAGGTGAGAAAGAAAAGAATCGTTTTATCTCTCTTCCGCTGGCCTTCCGCTCTTCTCGAATTTACCGTAGGGTTTTGTCGCATATCAGAAAAATGTTATCTTTGTCCCGAACAATCCTGCTTTCTTTGCAAACTGCAGTCGAAATTAGTTTCGCGTATCAGTCAATTCGCGTTGGATTGATATATATTGTTTCAAGTGTTCGGCTCATCTGACTTGTCAAAACATTTTGCCACGGTTACGCTTTTCGTTCGAATGATCTTTGTAGATTTTTCTGCTTTTTCGACACACATGCATATCCATATAATACACACGCATATTGCGCAACGACATAGCACATATTAACTCAATGACAACGTATTGAGAATATATTTGCGTGCTCGGTTAAAATTGCTTCTCAGTGAACCTATATTTAGCTGCGGTCACAGTTGTTGCTTTTTTTTTCTTGTCATGCATAGAGGAAGAAATAAACGGAAGATGCGTAATTAGGTAATATCCAGACAGATTATCTGCGGTGAGAATAGAAGAGTTACAAGCGCGAGCTAAGATATTCCTCTGCATAGTAAAGAACAAAAATGACGAAATCAATTAATTCGCAATAATCGAGGAAAAAACATTTAATGGGATATTTTTACATTTCGAGGAAGTAATATCCTGTCTTTAAAACGGATAAACAAATGTATGATAAAATAACTTAGGAGTAATTACAGAGAGGCAATTACTTCAATAGCATAATTACTTTACTTACGTACCCGATAAAAATTATACGAAAATAATTAAGAGCGTTCGAATGTCATCATCGAAAATCATTATTGGGGCACGGATCTGTTTGAATACGGTTTACCAGAAATCGAGCATAATGAAGTTTTATCGGAAATACGTTCTCCGAAACAGAATTATTGGAGCCAGCTGGTGACGACGAGTTTGCATCGCATTTGATAGCCGACACGTTCAAGAGAAGAACATACAAGGGGCGTTTATCTAATCAATTTGATGCTTTGTCACTTGAACCCTAAACTGGCAACGTGAAAGGAATTCTACGCAATTGACGTTGAAGGGCTCATTGGGACTCCTTGGTTTATTTTTCACGAAAGATTGTTTTAATATCATAATTTTTTTCTATTTAAGAACGCAAAATACGTGGAAGAAAATATTGGGGCGTTGTGTTGCAAATTAATATCTTTAATTATTTGTTTAATTTGCGTACAAATAAAAGGAGAGGTAAAATTAAAGCTTCGGAATCTGAGAAACCGCACGTATTTCGTTAAGGGTTAAGATTTATTAAGATAACCCTTTTATTCATTTCATTATGTTAATCCATTTCCTTTTCATCGAAATTCAATATAACGTCTTTACATAGAACAAGACGTCTTGTGATATATTGAGCAAACTTTTGTTTAAAAAACATTTTTCAATCATTCAATCAACAGAGATCCTTATTTGCATCAAAATGGTAAAAGTGCGCCATTTTATTTCGAAATAATTATAATATTTTATATTATTTTAACTAAATAAAATTCAAAGAGAGAAAATACAATAAAATATTTAAAAAACGTCACAACAATTTTCAGACATCTGTTAGATGTCTATTTATAGTCCAAAAAAAATTATTAGCTCTCTATATTACTTTCGTGATATATATCATATAATTATAAAACTAAGAGTATTTATAATAATTTCAACCCCAATACTCACGATATAATTTTAAGTAGATTATATGATATATTTACGCGCACGTCAAACTATTCTTAGCCAAACTATATATTCTTAGCTTGAAATTCTTCTCCTATTGAGTTTAATAAAGTTCAATTAGATTAAATTATTTTGATTGCCGAATTTTTTATTAGAAACGTCAGAAATGTTCTTGAAGAAAATCTAAAAGTTAAAAGAGTAATAGACATTATTTAAGTAAGTCCTTCTTTGTAAGAATTAAATAGAAATAGCATGTATATTTCGATCGCGTGTCATGTCGTATAACTTTAAGATAAAAAATTGTTGTTGAATCAACAAAACTGAAGGAAAACTTGAAATATTTTCTTCGCGGCAGTGATTCACTTTCGATTTCAGATAACGAGGCACGAGATAGCGAGATAGTCGGGTCTCGTCTCAGTGTCCTCGCAAACCACTCCATGACCGCCTTCTCTTCTCGAGAGGACGAAGAGGAAGCCGAGGACGAAGAGAACCGGGCGAGTCGTGGAAGGACGACGAATGTCTACGTGATCGGGGATGCCGTGCGAGAAACTTGGGATGAAGTCCAGCAGTTGAGACGACCCTCGAATGAGGGTGAACCGAGCGCGGATACAACGAAGTCGATCAAAACGCGAGACCGGGATGCTTTGATCCTCTGCGACCCCGAGAAAGGCGTGACCTCGGCAACATGATGTGGAAGGCGAAATGGTCACGCTTCACCGAATGCGTCTGCCGTCGACCCGGCCTCGTTCTGGTTCTGCTACCGTGCCTGATTGTCATCACCCTCTACCTCGTTCCCGACGACGACTACGAATACGAAGTGCTGCAGTATCCGTCCATCAAGTCGTACAACATTACAGAAGGTGAGAATCGTCGTCCTCGTGTCTCTCGTCGTCGCGATATTTCGATATTTCGATAGACGAGAAGTATGAAAAGCGACATGAAAAATATTTACTCACTCTCTCGCTCTTATTTATTCTACAATTATTAAATATTGGAGTTTATCACAGAGCTAATATGAACTTGACCCACTTGACGCGCTTGCCATTAGTTATGCTTAGGTATGTGAATTTATTTGATGCGTTTGTAATCTGAGATTAAATTTATTTGTTAATAGAAGGATCGATCAAATTATCAAAGTAGTCTCTATTATTTTAATAGCTTTACTTTATATCACGTTTAGGGCAATTGTTTAAATTAAATGCAAAAATAATGTTTCACGGGTTCTTAATCATAGTGAATTAATTTGATGCTTTTTTAATCAAAGATGAAATTTATTTATTAAGAAAAGAATTAATAATTTTAATTATCAAAGTAGTCTCTATTATTTTAATAGCCTTATTTTATGTCACGTTTAGGACAATTGTTTAATTTAAACGCAAAGACACAATTTTTCAGATTTTTAATCGTAATAAATTACTCAAAAATCAAAGTTTGCAAATTTTTAATATTACATTTCACACGTTTTACGATTCAGTGCAGTTTTACTAAATAAATCAGTTTTATTTGTGTCTGCAATAACATTTTTTTTATACTCTATTTTCATGTTTATTACGTGTTTTACGAGGAAGATTGTCCGCATTATCATTTTATATGATGTGTTTTATAAATGTTAATAATAGCACTTCAAAAGATCGCACTATTCAAGTATAAATATTTGAACCTAAAATGTTTTAATGGATAAAAGCATCAAATTAATTTGCATACTTAAAGCTCTTTTACTCATTAGAAGACTAAAAGTTGATGCATTTTTTGTACTCGTTTAATTGGCTTGTGTATCGAAAAAAAGAATTGCATGTTAAAAGTTTTGTTTTTCTACGATTTTTTTGGATAAATTAAAGAATCTAATTGACAGTAATAATATTTCCTAATAATAATAGTGTACAGAATCTCCATAAATTTTCTAGTTTCTAGATTTTTAAATCCGTTTCATTTTTACCTTTATTTCTTTTATTATGATTTTTATCACGTTCCTCTAGTTTCCAAGTAGTCGCTTTTATGTCGAGTTTATATCGAGCTTTGAGGGGATCAATTATTCTCAGATTTCAAATTATTTTCCCCTTTAAAAAGAGATCATTTGTTCGAAAGAGAAAGAGTTTGAAATAATATTAACGAACTGTGATATAATCTGCTAAGAAGGAATCTTTAATTAATATTTGCGAATATAAATTTTCCTTCAAAAATTAATACATACTTTCGTAATATTAATGCAGGATCTAATTATTTGAATATATATATGTGTGTGTGTGTGTGTGTGTGTGCATGAAAAAGAATATCTTATTTATTCTAATACAACTACGAGTACATTAACACGTTCACACTTCGCTGACTCACACGTTCACACTTCTCTGTCAGACAATATTGTCCGAAGAATTTAAAACTACAACATAGGTATCTCTTGACAACAGGTATAGTGTTTAGAGTGGAAAAACATTAAAGACGCACTTTACGCCGCCATGAGACTCTTATCTTTTTGGAATGTATAAGTGATACACTCACGCTTGTGAAGATAAGAGCTGTAAATGCACTAATATTTCATGTATCTCGAATAATAATTTATTCAATACTGCGAGTTGTGAAAAATTCATCAGGAGATTAACCAACACATTTAGAGCTAGTATATAAAACTGTATATTTGAAGAACTAACTGCTAGACTTTTCTTTGATATTCTGGAAGTATTGAATTAACGACTAAGTAGTTTTGTATCATCGATCGTCACCTATTTATAACGAACAATACTGTATCGTTTGACGTATCGCGTGACGAAACAAATAATTTATCAGAAATAAAACAGAATAAATATATGTATTTAAATTTTATTATTTAAGTATTTAATTAAATAATAAATTCAATAATAAGTGTATCCTATGTAAGTTTTAATATTTTGACGTATTTTGTTCTTCAACTATTGAATCATTTCATGACATTTTATTTTCAATCTTAATTTTTTCACATTTATAAATTTTAAAGGACTTTTTAATGAGTTTAATTTATATACAAAGTATAAGCTTTTACTTTGCACTTTGAAAAAATAATATAAACAAAGAGTTTTATTATTTTGACGTATTTTGTTCTTCACCTATTGAGTCATTTCACGACATTTAATTTTCAATCTTAATTTTTTCGCTTTATAGATGCTAGAGGACATTTTAATAAATTTAATTTATATATAGAAAGTCAGCTTCTACTTTGCACTTAAAAAAAGTAGTATAAACGAAGAGTTTTCCACTTAAAAATTTTAAAAGAGAGACATTCGAGAGAAAAAGTTTTCGAGGGAAAATCTAAATTAAATAATTTTCAAAGAAGTTGATCCGACTGCTTAAAATGTTTAAAACGGATGTCAAATCGAAATCTCTCGAGATTAAAAGTGGGAGAAAGTTTTCAATTTAGAAGAATTATCGAAATTATCAGCGGCTTAAATCTGGCGATAGGCATGGTAGACGGTTACCTCGTGTGGAATCCGAAGTGTCACATGCTGTCCAAAGAGCCTCTGGATCCGTCCATCACAAAATTCGTGAGGAAGGAGAGGCTGGAGAAGTGCCCGAACAATCTCATCCTCTCGCAAATTTTGAGGGAGCCTAATGGCAGCGTGTTTCTCTCCCTCGATCCATCCATACACAGCGACGTCTTCTGCTGCTGGTCATCGGTGATCAGACCCAAGGTGGACAAGCCTAAGAAGAACAATTACGACTCGACAATATCGTAAGACACTTTATACGAATAAAATTTCTACTTTAGAACAGATTACTTTCGATAGTATAAAAAAATTAAGTTCTATTTCTTATTCGCAATTAAAAAAAAATTATTGTCTCAAGTAGATGAAAGTTCCACTCTTAAAGTTTTCTGGAAAGTACACTTAAAGTTTTCTGGAAATCGATCCTCCTCTTCCGAACAGAGTGAAGCAGTGCGAGAACTTTACGGGACAAGTGGCACTCCCGCGAGAAGTGGAAGTGGCGCACGTGTCCTGCAAGACGAGGACCAAGTCGAAACCGAAGACGAAGACGAAGTCGTCGACGAAGACGGTGTACGAGAACGTCCACGCGATCCTGAGCCCGGAGAAGGTCCGCGATCGCAACGTCAGCCTGTCCTCCGGGAACTCGTCCAGGAGACTGAGCGTGCTCGTCCTCGGCATCGACAGCGTCAGCCGACTGAACTTTTATCGCGCCATGCCAAAGACCGAGAGGTATCTGCGCGAGGCCGGTTGGGTCGGGCTGAAGGGCTACAACAAGATCGGCGACAACACGTTTCCGAACCTGATGGCGATTCTTACCGGTCAGACTCCGCAGCAGGCGTATTCGCAATGCCAACCAACAGTGGCCTACAAGCTCGACAGCTGTCCGTTCCTCTGGCACAACTTCCGCAACGCCGGTTACGTCACGGCCTACGGCGAGGACGAGACTTCCCTCAACACGTTCAACTACCTCAAGGTCGGCTTTGTCGAGCCACCTACGGATTATTACTTGAGACCGTACATGCTGGCCAGCGAGAGGCTCCTCAAGGTGAAGAAGAGGTAAGATGATTGTCAATCGATCGTCGTCCGATCCGGGAGATCCGATGAATCGATGTTTCGCTGTCTTACAGATTCAACATGAAATACTGCACCGGTCCCGAGCTGAGCTTCGACCGGATCTTCGACTACGCCGTGAACTTCGCCCAGACGTTCGTCGGCGTGCCGTACTTCGGCTTCTTCTGGACAAACACCATCAGCCATGACAATATGAACGGCATCTCGTCGATAGACGCTCGCATGTTGAAGAGATTCGAATTGTTGGAGCAAGAGGGAATCCTGAACGACACGATGATCATTTTTCTGAGCGATCACGGTATGCGTTGGGGCGAATTTCGCACGACCTTCGTCGGCTGGTACGAGGAAAGGTTGCCGTACATCTACATCTGGCTGCCCGAGTGGTTCCGCCGGGAGAATCCCGAGGCCTATCGGGCCCTCGCGGTGAACCAGAACCGGCTCACTTCTCCGTTCGATCTCTACGAGACTCTGAGGGACGTCCTCGTCGTAGGAGGTGGCGATGCCGAGCCTAGTCCGGGGTGCTCCACCTGTCAGTCCCTCTTCGAGCCCGTTCCCAGAGAGAGAGGCTGCCAGGACGCGGGTGTGGCTTATCATTGGTGCACCTGCACGGCCTTCAAATCGATCAACATCAACGATAACAGGGTCGCCTCCGCCGGGGCGCAAAAGTTTCTGGATCACGTCGAAAGCGTGGTGAAAACCTACAAGGACAAGAAGGGCCGGCGATTGTGCGCGCGGCTCAAGCTGAAGAAGGTGCACCGGGTGAACGAGGTGGTCGATTTCGGAGCGGAGAACTCGTCCAGCGTCGCGTATTTCTACATGCTCCAAACGACGCCCGGCAACGGCAACTTCGAGGTCACCATCAGGTATCACGGCGACGGCAATTACACCCTGTCCGACAGCGAAGTCAGCAGAATCAACCCTTACGCCACGAGCGCCAGATGTCTGAATCATGGCATGAAGCAATACTGCCATTGCTTGAAGTAGACACCTAGCGAACTCTCGGAAAAGGGTTCCTTTTTCGTCTCATTCGCGCGCGTTGTACTTCATTAGCGTTTCGATTAATTGAATCGATCACCGCACAAAAAGCTCGACTGTCCTTTAATCAGGAAGATTGAAGTTTTTATCCTTCAAGTGTACAGTTATATCTTCAATATACGGACAGCGAAGGGAATATTCCGACTTGACTTCGTATAACTCTTACGAAAAGCTCGCGAGATCATTGCGAGAAACTTCGCTTTTACGACGTGTGTTTCTCCTGCAACGATCGATTCAATATCTCTGTTAAATGTATCTAATATTACGCTCGTGTTTTTTTTTCGATTTTTTAATTATATATACTATATACAAACGCGTGAGGCACAGTTATACGATATGCTTAGTACATATCAAACATAACGAAATCGATTGCCTCATCTCAAGGAACTAGGGACCTGAGTGGTATACATGGATATATATACCTTCTCGTTTACCAAGAATAACTATAGGTCTAGAATTTTTTAGGCCACTTGGCACTTAAATTATAAACAATAATTCAATAGTCAGTTCGATATTAACAAAGTATAAAATAAGTTTTTTTTATCGATACTCTCTTCGAAATAAAATCATTATTGACGAATGGAAATTAAATATGAGCTAAATGTCAAAAATTTCTAATTAGGATGAGAAATATAAATTTTTCAAGTTACATATATTTTTGCACAAGAGCGTTTACTATAAAAAACTTACAGTATTAAATTAACAATAAGAAAGTATCTCTCTCTTCAATGATAATGTATTTCAAATATTATACATTTTATGTGTCACACAAATTCTATAAATATCATTTTTGACAATTAGCTGGTATTTGTCATTCACTCTTCATTTTTATAGCTTATTAATTGCGAGAGAAAAAAATAATCGTGAAAGAACGAGCACATCGCGTATAAAAAATCAATCTAGTAAATTCCGTGCCTCTGTAACTTGTCGGGCAATTAATTGTCACGCATAACGTATCGCGATATCGTACATATCTTATATACACCAGAGGATGCGCATCGTTTTTGCGGTAATTTTTTTCCACGCGTCGTTGCATGTCGATCGATCGCGAATATATATATATACGACACGTCGGAATCGATATACCTTAAAGAAGCATGAAAGCGTAAGTGTAGGTATGAGCATACAACAACTAAGAACGTACACGGAATGTGTGAATGTATTTTCGCGACGGCACTCGTTCCGTTTTACCGATGTTGTATTACAAGGCATTAGCTATTTGTAATGCCTGTGCCTGTCTTACAAGAAGTGCCAAATCTCCGTTCTGTGCTAACTGAGCGTCAAAACGACAATTTCCTTACTTCCGATACCGACGGCGATCATTTTCAGACCACGACAATTTCACGACACAACTTACGTCGAAACTTGGAAATAAACAAAATATTACGTTTAGAACAATAAAAACAAATAATTCTGATGTTTCGGCTCTTAATATTTAATTAGTGAATCGATTCGTTCTTTTTCTTCAACGAAGAATCAAGGAATATTACTATCTATCTGTTTTGCCTTACTTAAAGTCACTTTCACATTTTTACCGATTTTATTTTATTTTTGTTGAATTTATTTCTAAAGTATTCTTTAAGAATTTGAAACTTCCTGTATATTTTGCTACAAAGATCGCCTTCGTGTACGAGAAGTACAAGATTTTACGTATAAGCTGAAAAATAAAGGCCAATGAATATATCGCGATATATATTTTACTACGACGTTATGTACGCTTTATTCTAGATAAGGCGAGAGTGTAAGATTTAATAATTAGAAGACAATGTAATTAAACAAAAATTAACTAATGAGTACTTCAAGATTATTGGGATAGAGATTACCCCATTTTATCTCCGTTGAGAGTCAGCCAAGCCAGATTAAAACAAATTCTGTAGGTTACAGAAATATAATTTAATTGCCAAAAGCAATTAGTATTATCGTATTCTTCGAATATAAATCCTACAAGAGGTAATATCAGAGATTAACGCAAACTTAGTCATTAACGAGTTTTCAGATGAAATTGTTAATTCGGAAACTGTCTATACAAAGATTTGCATATATATATCTTTGAGAATAGATTGTTTTTATGATAAATCATTAAATTAAATTATTAAATTACATTACTCGAAAGTGTATTTTATTTTCCCTTTCTTCCAAAAATATTCTTACAGAGTTCAATGGAATATAATACGAGACAATTTTATTCGAAATTTATGCCACGCAATATCCAATTACTATTTAAAAAGTTTTTAATCTTGTTCAGTAATTTAATCCATTTTCATCTGTTTAGCGTAACACAATTACTTCATTTTAATCAAAACTGAAAAATATAAAATTCTACATGTGTCTACATATCTCCCAATTTATAGAACTATAGTCTATTTTTTCAATTATTGTTCTATTTATCGTTGAAAAATTAATATGGTGATTATTCACATTCCTTTTTTATCTCATCGATTTTTCTTCTCTGGTCGAGGACAAATTAATTGAATGAAGCATCTTCACTGGATCGCCAGATACGAGTACGCATTCGCCATTCTCTTGCTGTTTGGCGCGACGACAATACTGGACGACGTGTGTAATCATGTTCCGGAGTCCCGAACAGCATCACTGAGACCGAGTGTCGTTGTCCGTGACCAACGTTTACGTTTCTATGTGCCATATACGAATCGAGGATCTTGATGCCCTCGTAAAGACTGGTCAGATCGCAGTTGGTGTGTCTAGGTCTTCTGCGCTGGCCGACAATGTTCTTCGGCGTGTCACTCGGCGTATTTGCCGTCGTGCTGGAATTCGTGATGCACCCGGGAGTGCTCGCCACCTCCGATACGATCTCGAAATCGTCGTGCAGTTTATCGTAGCTGCTGCACGTGCTGATGGTCGAGATCTTAGTAATGCAACTGTCGCGAGAGAACTTTCTGCAAGAGCGACGCAAAGTATTGCAGGGCGAGGATGTTGCCGTGGAATTGGCGCTATGACAAGGTTTCATCAGCTTAGAACTTAACAGCCGAACGACGGTGCTCTTCGAGACAGAAAAATCTTCCTCTTGATGCTCCGCATCGAGTTTTCCCGTGGAAGAGGTTGCGATCACCATTTGATCACGTTCCAGTTCACGGTCATTGTTTATCAGTGTTATGGAAGTTGATGAATTGCCGGTGGAATAATCTTGGCTGACGCAGCCGCATGCGCCTTCGCAAGAACAGCTCATGTTCCTCTCGTCCGATCTGTCAACAGTTCTTGAAAGGAATAAAAATAATTAATGACAAGAAAAAATATATGTATATTTAATTATACAGGGTGTCCCAGAATTACCGTATCACACGTTAATAGGAGATTCTTGAGGCGATTTGGAGACGATTTTTTTCTCAGCGAAAATGTCGAGAAAGGTCACCATTTTTTTAATGTTCCCAATTTTTGAAATCATGTATCTTTGTAACTAAGCCTTAAATTAAAATTCTATTAAAGTAAACTTTACCTAAAATTAACTAAAAAATGCAGTTTTGTTAATAATTTATTGTTACAAGGCTTAGTTTACAAAATAGCTTTTATTTTCAATCATTTATAACTCGAAAATTATTGGTGCCTGAACATTTTCGTTGAGGAAAAATCGTCTCCAAATCGCCTCAGAAATCTCCCATTAACGTGTGATACGGTAATTCTGGGACACCCTGTATATATATATGCAATATACACAAAAAATTACCCATCGATAGTCTCATCGTGATTTTCCCCTGTAACATCTCGACTATTCGCTTTTAATACTTCTACAGTATTTTCTTGGGCCGTTTCTGAAACGACCTGAACCTCTTGCTGGGGACTTTCCAGTGGCCAATTCGTATCCGGAATGGTGCAATCCGTTCGATATGTATCGAGAGCTTCAATATCCGTGGATGAGGATAAATCGACGGCAGATGGACGATCATTGGAAGAGGATTCAGGATACTGCGCGCTGCGTCGAAGCCAAGTGCGACGAACAGGGCACATCTGTTTCATCGATGCCGATAAACCAGCTAGGTTCATGTTCCGCAGTATAGTTTCCGTGGGCGTAATATATGGGGGTGGTGGACTCTCAGGTAGCACACGTCGATCGTTCTCCGATGCTACCGGGTTTGTTCGCCTGCTGCAACTGTCGTTCGTGCTCTCCACTACCAAGTAAGTAGAAGAATTCGCATCCTCATCGAATCTTAAAAATTAAATTGTAAATTTATTTCAAAGTGTTCATTATTTGATCGGAAGATTTTAATACAGAAAGATTATAATTATTTAAATATATTGTGATAAATTAATATTGTAATAAGTAATAAATGACAGTGATCACATATGAAACTCCAAATTCATTAAAGACCATCCCAAAATTTCATCTGCTTTGAAAATTTTCTGTGCATAATGTAAGAGAAAAAAGTGCATCTTACTGTCTTGAAGAGCTTCTGTTGCATGATTCGTAATTCAAACGTTCATATTTTTTCGATAAGGCGAGTTTCGCAACCTCTTCGTAACCTGGCGGAGCTTCGTAGCTAGGTGGATCATCTGGCAAGGATATCTCTTCGATTCGTGCACCATCTGTAATATTAAAAACTGTCTCCCTAATTTCAAAAACTGTCGAAAAATCAAAGTGATGTAAAAGTCATTTTTTGGGAACTAATAAACTCTATCAGCGTTAGGCCTTAAAACGCATTTTAAATTCGCGATCAACGTTTAAGCGATATTATATGTATCAAAATGTATTTTTTCACTCCGTAAAAATAATAGCTGAATTAATAAATTTCTTATAAAAAATATTATTCTTTTCCAGAATAGTGCTAAGGTAAGATTTCATTATATATTTTTTTCAATATTTTTATAAACGGAAAACTAATTTTTATAAATTTAAGCTATAATTTATGTGTCGGATCTTGTTGTGCTTTTTAGAATTAGACAAGAAACTCATCATCTCTTCTTTAATTCTGATTCGATCTTTCAAAAAAAGTGATTTCTTCCAAAATAATTTTTCTTCATCCGGATCTAACGATAAGATTATGATTTTTACAAGTACTTTCTAAAAAAATTACGAACGCATATACCTAAAAGCTCACTGATTGTCTCCAAACGAGACTGCAATTCTCTCTGTTGTCTCGCTCCTCCTATTCTGTACAGCAGTATAATAAGAGTCGTTATCAGAACAATTAGACCAAGGCTGCTGGCAACGAACACCAGGGTGGCCGTTTTCAGATCGGGATATTGTTCGATCTTCGGAAAGTAATAATTCGCTTTGTGCCATTTCCGCTCGTGCGGCTCCATTTCCCAATCTGTGCGCAATATTTTATAGGAAAATTAATTCGCGAAATAGCTGTGCAAACTTCAAATATTTATAGCTACAATTAAAACTGAGCAAAATAATACAATACTCTCCTTCGTTCTTTTTACATTTTTTTCATTTACTGCATCTTTAAAAAAATGATATTGGTCTTTTTTATCGCTCTTTAATCCCCTAATAAAAGTTATTGTTTTTATTCTAAAAGAGAGCTTTCTTAATTACTTAATAAGTTGTAAATAAGGGATATTTTTAAATATACTATATAATAAACTACACATGTACAAATCTTAGGAGAAATTTTCTTTAAATAATATTTATTTATTTCAATTACAAAAGAGAATATTTTCTTTATATTATTATAAATAATTTCGAATTAGGTATCAAATTAAAGCGTCATTTCGGCAATATAAATTTTTGCGTGGAAATAACGTCAATACTATATATAGCTTTTAAAAGTCTCTTTCAAGTCTAAATTATCTCTTCAAGTTATAAATACTCACTTTGAAAACACGTTCCTGGCTCGTCACTATTATCACCACAATGATCGAAACCGTCGCAATTCAGCTGAATCGGGATGCATCTGTGATTCTGACAAAGAAAATCGGTGCCCGCGAAGCAATCTGCAATGTTTCGAATCTCAGAGGCAGAGGATGGAACAGAGTTACATACTAAATTTAATTGGAGCGAAACAATCACATTGCAACTATCTTACGACCATCGTCGAGGACAGACTTACCAATGTAGCTGAAAGCCGCGTAAGCGATCGCCAAGTGCGAATTTGGACCGAACGTACCGCGAAGACTCACGTGGAACCCGCTGGTGACAGGTGCAATGTGTTCCCGGTATCTAAGGGATTGCAACTGACTCGATGGATGTCGAATTACTTCCAACGACATCAAGGCCGAAGTTGGACCCTCCTTGATAATTAACTCCGTATTGCCGGCTACGAAGCAACAACTTTATGAGCTCTTTATATTTATTCCATCGCCTTCGTATAATTGTACTTGTTTGATTTAAAATTGATTAAAAGGGATAGGTATATAAAAAAATAGAACGTGATAAACTTTTGACACTTAATTTTTGTTATTCTTGCAAATTATTTATATTTAGCTCATTTTTTTATAGAAGGTTTAGAAATTTAATTCAACTTTATTCGAGTTTGCTTGTCAAATATCTCTTTTGCGTACGTACCCATGTCGGCAAAACTCACTACTTTTAGATACATATGCGTCTTCATGTGCAGAAAGTTCTTGGGTGGTCTGATTAGCCAGACGCAATCGTAGATTTTCAATGTTTTTCCTTGACCGACCATGTTCATCATCGTAATAGCGCCGCCCAGATTTTCCACGTATCCGCCGCAGTCGGTGATGGGTTGTATGGATTTATCGTATGTATGACCGATCACAAAAGAGTAAAAAGCCTTGTAACCAAGACCGGTGCCGCCGTTCGCGTAAAACCTTACCAGCAACGATGAACCGGAACTCATTATGATCGGTGGTCGAAATCGCGCTCCGCTACTCACGTCTAAACGTTGTCCATTCCAGTCGTAAAACTGATCATGCAATCATCCAAATGTCAGGATATTTAATTTTTTTAGGAATTAGTTAAACATATAAATGTTCAGTCCTCATAATTTGTCAAAATTCAAGTAAGGAGGTTGAAAATTGAAGATATGTCTAGCCGAGAAATGATTCAAATAATATATAAGAAATATCTAAAAAGATATTTTAAACCAATTCTTTAGATTTGTAAATTATATTATTTAATTAAGTTTTAAAAAATGCTATAAATAATACAAATAATTGTATAACATTAAACGTATTGAAGTCAATAAAAATAAAATATTTAACATCTCGATTTATTTTTTCAAAAATTTCTATCATTATAAGCTTCAAAAAGGGTTAGCATAAAAAGACAATTAATTATAAAAGTGTACCTCCATAATGGAAACTGTCGCTAATTGGAAGTCGCTAAACAGCAATCTGATGCGACAAGAAGGAGCTTCGGTGGGACATGTTATGACATATTCCAGACCCAAATCACGAGGATATCGAGCCGGAAAAAACGGCGACGTCAAAATTCCAGTGCCGGTGGTGCCATTCAAACCCTTTGTCGGTACTTCCGATGTCATTTCCGTACCTTTCAAATGCAATCTATTTCCTGTGCGGCGAAAACATCGATTATTAGAAAACTTTATGAACCGCGATAACATTCGATTTAAAAAAATTTTTTACGCCGCTACACGTTATGTATAGATAGATAAACAAATTTGCATGTCAAAGCGGATTTTGAAAAATTCGCATATGTTGAAAAACGCTTTGCGAAAGATATGAAAATAAAATTGAAGCTGTCATAAATAACATGAATAAAAAAATTAAAAATTTAGCTTTAATTCAATTAGTCATGTCGACAAATTATTTTATTTAACGCGAATATAGATTAAATTGTTTTTCATCTTTGTTAATATTAGATTCTAAATTCGCAGATATTTATAATTAAAACAGTATTAATACTGAGATATTAATACTGAGATAGTTCGAGATATTAGTAACCATCTCTATACTAACTTTCTGCCGTGTACTCGATAGTAAACGCGTGCTTATGGAACTGGCTATAAAATAGATTTATAGACAGAGTTCTCGTGCTCGATCTATATGTGACTGGTGTATTTGATCCGCAGAACGGTGAGCCGGAAACATCCTCGTAAGGTGGTTCCGAGAGCCATACGTAGTCGCACCTATAAAAAAGCACATATACAGTTTCAATGTTCATAGTGATTACCGTAATGTATCGAGATATAAAAAAGTTATAATAGAATTTTATTTCCTAACAAAATTCAATTAAAATTGAATTAAATTCATTAAAGCTAAATTAAATCATTCCAGTTGCAAGGATTTTATCTTATTTAGTTACATAATATTATAATCATATTAATTATAATGCAAATATTAATATTAACATTACTGAAATTATTCGATATATGTCAACTAAAAATTATATATTAATTACAGTAATAATACACGGAGAGAAATTTCTCTTAGAATTTATCGTGAAAAATCGTGGTAATCGTGAAATAGGTATTAGAAGAATTTTATAAGAGTTTGTCTGATTAAATATTAATCATGATAAAAAATATTAATATGTACATATAATAAAATTTATCGAACATATTTTATATCTTATTGTGATTGATATTTATATTTTTTTATTAATCAGAGAAAACTCTTATAAAATTCTCTCTGTGTAATAATAGTATTTCATTTTAATAAAAATATACTGTTATATCATACTTTCAAATTCAAGTTTCTTTAAAGCTTTATATACCTAAACTTGTGCCTAGAAAATAATTCAAAGTGTAAACCCTATAAAATACTGATAAACTCATCACGTATGCATCTCACCTGCAGAGGCTGTCCATCACGATGCCTCCGTCGCCGCAATGATGTGACAAGGCAATATTTTTAAAAGTAACAACTATTACACAGGACGGACAGGTCACCAGTTCAAGGCTGCATTGATGATGGGAGCTGTTGGTGATGGTGGTGGAGTAAAGACGCGATGTCAGCTGCCTCGAGTTCCTGACAAAGGTGACGTTCTTCGCGTAGAGGATACCCTTCTCACTCAGCTCCAGATAAAGACGCCTGCCATTATGTGATCCGCAAATGTCCTCGTTCCGGATGATGTTCCCGTTAGTTGCGAGGATCCACCAAAACGTCACGAAGATCACTAAATTTATGCGATAGAAAAAAGATGTCCAAATCTTAGACAACAAAACGTCTAAAATCGGAACATAAGACGTCTTAAAGGAGTCATTAAGATGTATTTTAGACATCATATTAAAATATGTCTTTAAGACGCCAATAAGATATCTTTAAGACGTCTTATGTCCCGTTTTTTAGACGTGATGTTGTTTGGGAAATTATAACCGAACGAGTTCGCGAAAGCTTACAGAAGATTCAATTGTTGAGAAGAAAACATATAAGATAGAGAGAATGTAAAATATAATTTTTTGTGTTGTAGAAAATAAATTAAGTCGAAAACTTAATCAATTTTTACGTCAAATGAAAAGTCAACTATTGTATTTCTCACCATATTTAAAACAATACATATTCGCAGCACGGAAAGCGACCTTCTGCGCTATTTCAAGAAACCTGACGCGATTGCGTATAATTTGGTTAGCGCGACAACAGTGTTACACTCTTACTAATATTGAATAAAGCATTATTATGGCATCCCTCGAGCACCTATCATATTGTACAATTTACAGATAGGATTTGGTAAAGTTCAACAGCTGACATCATGACGGAATTGCAGCATGAGAAATCGCGTTATGTTACGACCACACATTTATTCTAATCGTCTTCGACAGATTATGTCTTCGATTTTATATTTTAAAATTATCTTATTGTATTGAATCTATAATTATATGAATAAACATTTAATAATAATATTTCCTTTTCGTTTTTTTGTGCTTCTATTCCATAGTGTAATTTAGACTATGTAATATTTACTAAAAAAACAAACAAGCGCACACCATTGATATTGTTTCTATATTCTTCATTTCAAATGTCAAACTGTAATTATAACTGTATAATTAATCTTCGCGATGACAGTTGCTTGATGCTATATGAATATAACACATAATGCAAAGTGAGATAAACAATTAGCAACGTGGAAAAGAGAAAACAATATCTAAGTACTTGCGAGAATCGACTTTGCATGTCTTTTTTTAGAAATAAAAGAACATAATCAATTCCTGAATTTCTATTATGTACATAATTTTAATTCAAAACATTTTTATTATATACGTATTTTTTCAATCACCGAATTTCTATTACATTCAATTTAAAAATTGCAATTCTTTAAACAAATTGTTAAAAGTGAATTATCTCGACTTAAGAAATTTTTAAAATATGATTTTCCACCAATAAAAAATTTGATTGCAATTACTATATACAAACAATTCTAAAAAAGACTGCGCATGCGGATTTGAAATATCTTAAAGTGCTGGTCACTTTTAAATTTTTCCGCTTTAACATCGATATATCGATCTATCTCCACTTAAAAGCTTATTCGAATTTAAAAATTTCACGCATTCAGTTATGTGAATCTAGCACCTGACTTTCAAATAATTCATTTTTTAATGGAGAAATTCTATTAGTAGTTTTAGAATATTATAATTGATTAGAAGTTAAGGTATTGTTGCAAAAAAGTATGAAAAAAATAAATATAGATAGTTAAAGGTAAATTATATATATCATATGTCATATGAGAACGCATCTTTCAGTGTTTATGCAAGCATTTTCAATTTTAAAATTCTGTTTAAATAAGTTCATTATACGGGCAATCTGCTGAAATATGTCTATCTGGATAGCTTTTTTCACACAAAAATTAATTTCAATAAAATAATTTTTTTCAAAGAGAAGATATAACACATAAAAAGAGAAGGTACTACTGCATAAAAATTATATATATATATATATATATATATATATATATACTATATACAATATACATACAAGAATTTAAAATTAATGATGATCGAAAAATTGTCATTTCTTAAAATATTATATATTAATAGGATAAAAATCATAAAATTTAAAAATCTATATCGCCAAACTATATACTGACATACTATATTTGTATGTATACAATAACGTCATATGTTTACTTACCCATATGACGCCATAGCGCTGCAGCTGCATATCGTATGAACGATGAGGGATCCTGATCTGTTGACAGATATTCCAGAGCTGTCAAATGATTCGCTCGAGATGGACCTCAGCATTCATCCGGAGAGGCAAAGATTCCCTTTTTGTATCGTTTGGACTCCGCTACCGTTAATAACGTAAGTCAGTCTCAATTATGCATAATACAATCATAACCTTGTTTCTTACATCGTATTTGACATTTGTCAGTGTGTTATATATATTTTTTATTATATACATACTAACATTGTCACGTAAATGTTAATATGTAAAGTGTCGTAAAAAAAGTAGAATTTCTCTATATATAAATAAATAAACATTAATAGAGTCTCATGCTTAATATATATTATAATATTCATCGCATTAATTAAACTTGATATATTCATTTGGATTTTTAAGATACCTTCTACCATTTATCGGACACATGGGCATTGCAACGTCAACAGGAGTAATAAGAGATTTTGCTGGCCCTTATCATGTCTCCGAAGACAACATGGGATTTGGTAAACCTACCAAATATTGGCAACTAGATTATACTAAAGCCAAGGGAACCATACAAGGATGGGACGCTGCTGTTGCAGAAGCGAGTGAAATTTATAAAACTAGAATGGTAATGATAGAATTCAATTCAGAGATTATAAAGTTTTTGTGATAACTCTACAGAATTAATCTTTTGTACAGCACAATATATTTTGCGATAATTGCCATTCACATGTAGCAAAAGCTTTGAACTTGATGGCCTATAATAACTCAAATAACTGGAATATGGTGAAACTGGCTTTGCTTATGTTGCTTCATGGAAAATATGTAAGGTAAAATCTATATACATATATATGTAAGTGTATTGTGAATAAAAATTTATACATACAATTATATATAGCTATTATTAATATTACTTACTATGTCCGTTTCAGTGCTTTGGGATTCCTTAAAACTTGGTTACCATTCTGCATATTTGTTACAATTGTATTAGTATTAAGTTTATGTATATAGTAATTATAAGATATAAATCGATTTATAATAACTTATGCATTTAAAATGCAATTTTATTTTTTAATACTTATTATAAAAATTTGACAAGAATATTATTTATAGGACATAAAAACGATTTATTATGTGTAATTTTTACAATGTAAAATAAACATATATAATGATTATATAATTATTGTGCAATAATAAAATTAAATCTAAGATATATATGGCTTCTGTGACAACATAGTATCCTACATATGTGTCCTACACATGTAAGGAAAATAATTAACTTTATTTGTTATTTAAAAAGTCATTAAAGCTGCATGATATTAAAGAATTAAAGTAATAATTTTTCTTAATTTACACAACATGTCACGAGACAGGTAAAAACAAATATGTGGTTTTATAACATGTGCAAACATTATAGCAATGTCGAAGATAAAACTATTTCTTTGAGCAAGAGTAAATTAAAGAATAATCTAAAAAATATTTTTTGTCACAATTTTTTTCAAAGAAAAGATATAACTGCATATAAATATTTTGTCTTATATTAATTAAATTTATTCATGTATTTCTTATTTAATAAGCACGTTTTTGCTTGTTCTAATATTAAAAAACGAGAGCATGTTAAAAAACTACAGTTTATGTAGAATTAAAAAATCAAACTTGACATATTTATTAAGCGAGTATTATATGACACACAGTTCACCACTTGAAAAATATGACTTTGTTATACATTCAAATAACTAACAACAAAAATATATGTATATATATATATATATATATATACCTAAGTTTGATTCCTTAATTCATAGAATATACACTTTTATTACACAACAAATGATGGAATTGTAAGTTACTCATCAGTCCTGCTATTCATTTCTGTAATAACTCCTGTTTCAAGAGAAAAATCATAATCATAATTTTGATTTTCTAATCTTTCAACAAAAGATAGTATTTCGCTAATCCGTAGGCCATCTATCTCTAAGTCATTATTCATATTACTTTCCAAATGTTTGCACAACTTAAATGGCACACCGCTTAAATAATGCGGAGCATCTGCTTGTTGATTTAGTTTTGGTAAACTGCCAGTCGACATTGTGGGATTCAACGGTGTCCCACCGATCAATGGATATAACCCACTGGGATAAGGTGCACCTTGGTCACCAACATTAGGTGGTAACGAGGTCCTCCTTCTTTCAATTACTACAAAGTCATCTCCTGAATCTGCAGAGGGTTGTTGTTGCTCATCTCTGGATTCGGGAGGTGAATCCTTGTGCTTTTTTTTGCCAAAAAGCCAAGACATCTTCTGCAAAATATCTTGATCTAAAATTTCGTAAAGGATTCTACTAGACACAAATAATCAAGTTTTCATTGAGACATGCTGGAAATTTAACATAATTTTTAAATAAAATATTTGGAAGGGGAAGAAGTCAAGACCGTAAAAAAAAATACAACACACTTTAAAATGTTATGATTATTTGATCTATACAAGATACTTGCCTGGAAAGTAAAAATTAATCTAACAATGACTAAAGTGTAGTATAGGTTAATTTACTAATAGAAAATATTTGTCTCTTATCTGTATTTTTTTATAAAATAAGAAAGTATTAAATGACGCATTCTCGTGCAACATTTCTACTACAATTTATCTTGAGGGATTGAATATACTTCCAAAACATTTAAAAGTTTTTAGACAAACTTCTTCTGGTTTGATGTTGCAAAGAAAGATATCGCTTTGTAAGATTTTTTTTCAGTCTCATGGAGATAAAATAAACTCGAACTGCTAACATTGTCGTACGTGATAGAAAAATTATAAGTTGTGTGATAAGAAATGTTGAAAAAAAAACACAAGATTTACTCACATGCAGGCAGTAAAAAAATTAAAAAAAGGGTTAAAACCACAGACTCAAATGAACGGCCCACATTAAAGACTGACCATACTGCTATCGCTTTTAGTTAATTGCTTCTTCAAGATAAATAATTGTGCATATAAACACGCACAGCACAGCAAAACTTTAATCGGAATACACGCAAAGTATGGAGTCGGTTATCGAAATAAAACAAGCTTGTTTGTCACTTCGCCAGATGTCAATGAGTCAGTTCGTTGTAACAGCAGTTTATGCACTTATAGATTAACAATGAATATTTATATATATATGTAAACAATATCACAGATTAATAGACAGATCGCCAAAGGCCTGCCTAAAGAAGAGACCGCCATCTTCGTGCGATAGACTTTGCCCCTTACCGACACACTTTGCCCCTGGTTCGAGTCCGTGCTAAATTTCGTAGACTTGAACCAAAAGACTTTGCCCCTGGTTCGAGTCCGTGCTAAATTTCGTAGACTCGACCAAAAGACTTTGCCCCTGGTGCAAGTCCAGGCTAAATTCGTTTGACATTACCAACAGACTTTGCCCCTGGTGCGAATCCAGGCTAATTGATCATGAGACCAATTTGAGAGATTTGGCCCCCGTTGTGTGTGTGTGTGTGTGTGTGTGAGAGAGAGAGAGAGAGAGAGAGAGAGAGAGAGAGAGAATATTTTACATATATGCATATATATATATAAAATTTATTAAATATAAAAATATATTTTTTACACATAAAATGTTTTTTTATTGAAATAATCACGATTTTAAATGTGATATAACACAGTGTTCAAAAATTTTTTAATTAAATTTTTTAATTAAATTTTATTAAAGAAAATTACTTGAAATTTTTTACATTAAGAATTTAAAGGCTCCTTATTCTCTTGTAGAAATTTATCACTACGCCAATTAATCACTTATTTTGAGTATTTAAAATACTATAATATACAGTAATTTAAGTATTCGAAATAAAAGTGATTAATTACTCGAAATAAGTGATAAATTGGCGTTACTAGTAATAAATTTCTATAAGGGTTGAAATAAAGTATAAAAGATAAATAGGCTATATGTGAGCCGTATGCGAAATGTGAGATGTAAGACGCATATTGAAATTTAATTTTTCGATATAACTTTCAAAAATGTACACGAGGTACAAAAAATTAGCTTGGACATTTGTAAGACTTAAAATTGGGATTAATTCTCAATTCTATTAATTAAATTTCGATATAACACACCTTACATCCGCGCACGGCTCACATATAGCCCATTTATTAGTGCAATTTTTAAGTTCCTTATTTTTCAAAGTTCACCTTTTTACGTTATCAAATATTTTTGGTACGTTTTCAAGAATTTTATATTTTTACTTACCGCAGTTTCTTATCCAAATGTAAAATCTTTTATCGCAGTCTATAAAAAATTGAAACAATTTACAATTTTATGATATAATATTATTATTATTACAATTTCTATATATATGCACATCTGTCAAATATCGTGATTTATTTCACATTATTATTATCTATTTTAATAAAAAAAAAAAAAAAACACTTGCAACAATCAAAAATAAACCGCCTGCCGCGAACGGAAAATGCCAAGAAAGCACGCAATTTCCGCGAATCTCGTAATTTTTTTGAAAAATCAACAATTTCAACGAAATTGTAAATTCTTCAAATCACTGCACAAGTATAATTCACAATAATAATTTTCAGTAACTACGATAAAAAATCGTATACTGAAAACCGCAAACGAAAGTGCAATGAGAGTAAGAGTAAAGTCTGTGATAAAATTAATTGGCAATAGAAAATTAATAATTTTCAAATAGAAAAATTTTGAAATTACCGAGGATTTACAAATAATAAAGTAAAAATATTAAATAATTTATGTTTTCGAATTTTGCTCGCGGAGAGGATCTTTAAAACAAGATTTTTAGAAGAGAGGACCTTTAAAATATAAACAGGCAAAAACGTTGGAAAAATTAAAGCGCGCGTTTAAACAGATAAACGCAATGAAATAAATACGCAATTGTTTTTACTTATCGCTGTAAGCTCACAAGCTTCTGACGTGCTATACACTTTTATATAATATATACAAGGTGTCCGGTAACTAACGGACCAATGATTAAGGGCGGATTCTCTGGCCAATTTGGAGACGATTTTTCCTTAGCAAAAATGTTGAGAAGTCAATAATTTTCGAGTTATAAGCGATTGAAAAAAATAGGTTTTTTGAAAACTAAACGTTTTGGAGTTAAAAGTCTAACATAATTACATTCTTCAGTTAATTTCAGGTAGAGTTTACTATAATAAAATTTTAATTTAAGGCTTAGTTATAAAGATACATAATGACAAAGATTGGAAAGTTGTAAAAAATGATGACCTTTTTCGACATTTTCGCTGAGGAAAAATCGTTCCCAAATTGACCAAAGAATCCATTTGTAATCATTGGTCTGTTAGTTACCGGACACCCTGTATATTGGACACGAGTTTCGTTTGTTTCAGATTCTCGAGAGTTGAAGTAGGAACATACGAGTATCATATATCGTTTGTGACTTGCCGAATGAAAGCAAGACAGAGAGCGAACGAGATGATGAGCTTAATAGCTCATAATGTTATAAATAAATAAATAAAAAATTATAACCTGACCTACTAGTTATTGAATCTTTTTTTAATAAAATGTTTCATTATTATTATCATCTAAGTCTAAGTCGTTTAATTACTTTTTAGTTTTTTAATAATTAATTTAATTTATTCTAGTCATTTTTATATGAGAAAAATAATATCACGTATACGTTTTATAATGAATTAATATATTTCGGGAACCGAATTATATATTCTTAATAATATAAAAGTGTTCAAAAATTATATTTGACTTTTAATTTTAATTATTTTATAGCAAAGAGTTCCGAAATCTCTTACACACATAATGGGGATTTTTTTCATCCATATAATTCGCAATTAAGTATATATGTTAATTATTAATTTTAATAAAATAAAAATTAAAATTAAAGGTCAAATATAATTTTTAAACACAAATATATTAAATTAATTATAAAACGTATACCCATGATAGTATTTTTCTCGTACAAAAATAATTAGAGTAAATTAAATTAATCATAAAAGATTAAAAATTAATTAAAGAATTTAAACTTATATTTTATATAATAATAATAAAACATTTTATTACGTCAAACCGTCGTGAAATAATTAAATAAAATTTGCTAGTTACGTCAAAGTCAAGTTTTCTAAGCTTATAAAACATTTTATTAAAAACAGATTCAATAAATATAAGTACATGTTATATATATACTTATATTTATTGAATCTGTTTTTTTTATAAAATGTTTTATTATTATCATATATAATATAAATTATTTAATTATTTTTTTATTTTTTTATGAGTAATTTAATTTGTTCTAGTTATTTTTGTACGAGAAAAATACTATCACGGGTATACGTTTTATAACGAATTAAATATATTTATGTTCAAAAATTATATTTGACCTTTAATTTTAATTTTGTATTTTATTAAAATTAATAATTAACATATATACTTAATTGCGAATTATATGGATGAACAAAATCCCTATTATGTGTGTAAGAGATTTCGGAACTCTTTGCTAAAATAATTAAAATTAAAAGTCAAATATAATTTTTGAACACTTTTATATTATTAAAAATATATAATTCGACTCTCGAAATATATTAATTCATTATAAAACGTATACGTATTAGTATTTTTCACATATTAAAATGATTAGAATAAATTAAATTAATTATTAAAAAACTAAAAATTAATTAAACGACTTAGACTTAGATGATAATAATAATGAAACATTTATTAAAAAATAATTATAATAGGTCAGGTTAATATTTTATTTATTTATTTATTTATTTATTTATAACATCATAAAATTCTGTCCTTTCCGAAATACGCGAACGCTACGAAAAGATAAATCTCGTACATGCCGCCGGACGAGTTCATGAGCATGAGACGCTCTTATCTTGGGAACGTATTAATAGTTACTGCATTGACCACTACTACGATATGGCGCTGAAATCAGTGAGAAATGCTGGTCTCTCCTTCATCCAGACCTTTGGCGATCTGTCTATTAATCTGTGACAATATGTTGTTATTCTTTCAAGAAAAAATATAATTAATAGTAAGACGAAGATGGACAACTCGTATGACGTTGTTGCAAATTTTTAAACAATAGATCGATAGATTATACTTTTAATTATTATTTCTTTCGTTTGATCAATCGTTGTATTATTACATTTCGATCTTGATATTTATGTACATCATTAAAACATAATTTTAGTTATGTAATCATTATATTTATATATATGTCATAATTAAAATATTTATTTATTTATATATAAAAATCGTATAAATATTTTTTGTTAATCTGATCGAAGCATTTGTAGCATCAAGTTGACCGCATTTATTGATTCATTTGCTTTAATATTACGAAGAATCTGATTGGACAAAACTGGACGAAAGAGGCAAAGTCTCGTTTTGATTGGTCGAAAAACTTTCTAGTACATGTTAGCGCGGGCTATCTATATCAATTTCAGTATCTAGGATTGGAAGTTCATCGGTTCTCCGTTAGTTTGCATCGACCATCGCTAGATATCAGCACTATATTGAATCGCTGCATTGCAAAAATCGGCGGAGATTCCGATAATTCTATATCAACCGGATCAATTGAATCAAAAAGGTAATAAAAAGACGCTGATGTTGAATTTTTAATCATGCGATCCCTATAATTATTCTCTGGTCGATTAAACTCATATGCGATTATATAACTCATAACTTGCCATTAATTTTACAATTTGCAACCGTATAAAGTTGCACACGCATATACATATACATATATATATATATATACACTCATTAAATATACGTATATATATTTTTATAAATTAATTTTGCATAGATATATATGTGCGAAACACGATTATTATTCATATCATTTGTATATTTGCATGATGATAAGTATTTTCTCATATTTCTCGAAGAGTATTTTCAAGGATATATATATATATTAATTGAATATATTATATATATATATATTGCTATAAATTATTCTTTATATTATTTGTATATTTGCACGATGATATTTTTTCATGATCTTTCCCGAAAATGGCATTTTCACGCAACGCAATTCCTCTCGTACCGCCTGAAGTCCGCGCTATCTGAACGATAAAGCCTCGCGCTCCGAGCATTTCCGAGCGTCGGCGGAGAGTGCCGAGGGGCCACACGACCTCTGTAGGTCGTCGAGTAGGACTGCTCGCGCATAAAAAGGACGCGGGCAGCCACCGATGACG